TTTATTTGATACATTGGCAAACTATTATGTTTATAATGTGATTGTTGTTACAAACAATAAAACATTTACATATTATCCATACAATTATGAAAATGTGCATAATCCATTACTAACCTATGAAGAAATTACAACTTTGGATTATTTTCCCAACAAATTACCGAAACTTTGGAGAAACACCACAATAACTCCCTGTTACGTATTTCTGCTTCCATATTATCTGGGAACAATGCGTAACGGTTCTGACGTGATTCTGGTCGAATCTGTTTTAAAGCCTCGCTTGCAAATGTCCACGAATTTGTCGACATCCATTTTTTGGGGTACCAAATTAAAAAATGGGGCATACATTGGTGGTATGGGTGATCTTAAAAGTAAAAAAGTCGATATATTACTAGGCGGTGCAATGTACACACATGCTGATATATCCGATGATTTTGATACCACTGACGCATATTATGATGATGCAGCAATATGGGTCGTACCCATAGCTTTGGAATACACTTCATTTGTAAATCTAGTGATGGTTTTCAATAGAGATACTTTCATGTTAGTTCTTATAACAAGTGTAAGTTTAACGGTTGCTTGGGTCTTTGTTCCCAGATGGCTGCCGGTGAAATACCCATATTATTTGTCAATGTGGAATGTGACCACTAAAGTTTTACGTAATTTTTGTGGTAATGTAGAACAGCATTCATCACAATCCTTTCAACTGAAATGTCTTCACATTACAACACTGCTTTTTGTTTTTACAATCGCCGCAGCCTTCAGTGGAGCACTTTTTGGCAATTTGACAACGCCTGTATACGAGCGTCAAATTTCTACAATTCAAGATGTTATAGATAACAAACTTACAATAGCAATGTCAAGTATAGTTAAAAGTACTTTTAATGATCCCACGGACCCAAAAAACTATACGTCTACAATAACTCAGTGCAAGTTGACGATGCGTTAGAAATGAATGAAATACTGAATAGGATTCAAGTTAAACGAGATATTACCGGATTTGCAACTCGTAGAAACATGGAAAGCCAGAATATAGTAAAAGGTATCACTTCCAGTAAATTTGCCGTTACCCATCCCAATCCAACTATGTTCGCCTTGGTTGATGGTCAGTCAACGTACAATATAATAATGATACTCCAAAAAGGTCATCCAATGTTTAAACAGATTAAAAAAATTATGATTATTGTATTCGAAACTGGTATTTACGAAAAAATTTCGAATGAGTTTAGGTACTATATTTATTTGAAACGATTTAAAAGAGAGAAACCGAAGGGTGGACATAAAGTAATACGGCTTAATCAGGTTACAGGAATATTTTATTGTTGGATGGGTGCACTTTTTGTTGCATTTATTGTATTTTGCGGTGAACTTATGTATTATCAAGTAATTGTGTATAGATGTTTAATGTTTGAATTATTTGTTGTGTTATAATAATGCAGTCATTAAATCATTAGATGGTTTTGGACATATTTAATGCATATTTGAGTTGAACATGTAAATTCAATTTTTCATAAATAAATCACAAAGTAAAAATTATATTCTTAATTATAACTGTGTCCTAAAATAACTTGATAACAGTTTAAGTTTTTTTACAAACTAGTTTTTTGGATATTATTATGGCAAGTGTAGTACAATATTAATAATAATAATATTCATTCCCATTTTATTGTAATTCTGAGAACCTATTTCAAAATTAACGAATTCATTTTTATAATTATTGTCACCAATATAATGTGTATATTAGTATAATAACGACTTTGTTTCTAACTGATTGTTCAACATTAATTATTTAATAATGACAATTTTATATCTTTAACAAATACTCTAATTTGAAATGAAATGCCTGATTTGAGCCTAGGTGACACCGTGGTGACACCCATGCTTTATTTATCGATTTATTATAAAAATGATTATTATTCCAACAAATGCAGTTATAAATATACTAATGTTATTATATATTTATGTGATTGGCATATGTTGGACTAGAATTATGAAATAAAAAGTGTTTATTAGTATTTGAAAAAAGGATTTTTCTACTTTTGCAGTAATGTATTGATAAGTAGATAAGAAAATGAGCTGCTGCTGGCACCCAACTTTTAACAAATACTTCAGTGAACGGATTGTTTGTTTTCATTAAATCATTATGATGAATATAACTATAGTAGCGTTGGTATTGAAAATGGAAATTGTTCTGAAAACCGCATTATCACCCAGAGACGTAGTACTTTACTATAGTAATACCCAAAATGGTTTTTCACCCATAATTCTATCGCATTCAACATTGGTATATAATTATCAAACAAAAAATGCACATATTTTAAATGCCAACTACATTCTTCCAAAAATAGATGCTTATGTGATTAATCTAGAACAAAAAGACATCTCAATTATTTTTGAGAAAATATCAAATATGCGATTGTGGAATTCACGGGCAAAGTTTTTCATCAACATTGAAATGTCAAATGATGAAATCTTAACAACCATATTTGATACATTAGCAAAATATTATATTTATAATGTGATTGTTGTTGCAAACAATAAAACATTAACATATTATCCTTACAAGTATGAAAATATGCGCAATCCATTACTAACCTATGAAGAAATTACAACTTTGGATTATTTTCCAAACAAATTGCCGAAACTATGGAGAAACACCACAATAACAGCCTGTTACGTTTTTCTGCTTCCATATTATTTGGGAGCTATTCGTAACGGTTCTGACGTGATTCTGGTCGACTCAGTTTTAAAACCTCGCTTGCAAATGTCCACAAATTTGTCGGAAACCTTTTATTGGGGAAACAAACTGCCGAATGGGACATACATGGGAGGAATGGATGATCTTAAAAGTAAAAGAGTTGATATAGTACTAGGCGGTGCAATGTACACACATGCTGATGAATACGATGATTTTGACATCATTGACCCATATTATGATGATGCTGCAATATGGGTCGTACCCATAGCTTTGGAATGCACTGCATTAGTAAATCTAGTGATGGTTTTTAATAGAGAAACTTTTATGTTAATACTTATAACAAGTGCAATTTTAACGATTGCGTGGGTTTTTGTTCCCAGGTGGCTGCCGGTAAAATACCCATATTATTTATCAATATGGAATGTCACCACTAAAGTTTTTCGTAATTTCTGTGGTAATGTAGAACAGCATTCATCACAATCCATTCAACTTAAATGTCTTCACATTACAACACTGTTTTTTGTAATTACTATCGCAGCAGCCTTCAGTGGAGCACTTTTTGGCAATTTGACAACGCCTGTATATGAGCGTCAAATTTCCACAATTCAAGATGTTATAGATAGCAAACTTATAATAACAATGACAAGTTTGGTCAAGAAATCTTATTATGACCCCACAGATCCAATAAAACAATACATCTATAATAACTCAGTTCAAGTAGACGACGCCCTAAAACTGAATGCAATACTGCAGAGAATTCCAGCTAAACGAGATATTACCGGATTTACTACTCGTAGGAATAGTGAAAGTCAGAATGTGGTCAAGGGAATTACTTCCAGTAAATTTGCAGTTACAAATCCTAATCCAACCATGTTTGGTTTGAGTGATGGTCAGATATTATTCAATGTAATAATGATACTCCAAAAAGGTCATCCAATGTTTGAACAGATTAAAAAAATTATGGTTAATGTATTCGAAACTGGTATTTACCAAAAAATTTCGAATGAGTTTAGATACTATATTTATTTGAAACGATTTAAAAGAGATCCACCGAAGGGTGGACATAAAGTATTACGACTTGACCAGATGAAAGGGATATTTTATTGTTGGATGGGTGCACTTTTTGTTGCATTTATTGTATTTTGTGGTGAACTTATGTATTATCATGTAATTGAGTATAGATGTTTAATGTTTGAATTATTTGTTGTGCTATAATAATGCAGTCATAAAATCACAATGTCTTGATTAAATAGTTTTCATTGTTTGGGTGGTTTCGGACATATTTAATGCATATTTGAGTTAAATATAAATGCAAATTCAATTTTAACTAAATAAATGACAAAATAAATGTTATATTCTTAATTATACCTGTGTCGTAAAATAATTTAATAATAGTTTAAGTTTTTTTACAAATTAGCGTTTGCCTGTTATTATGACATGAAGACTTTAGACTAAAATTATAAAAATAATTTTATTCATTACTATTATATTAAAATTCTGAGAATCTATTTCAAAGTAAACGAACACATTTTTATAATTATTGTCACCAATATAATGTTAGTATATATTAGTATAATAACGAGTTTGTTTCCAACTAATTGTTCAACATTAATTATTTAATAATGAAGGTTTTATTTTTTTAACAAATACTCTAATTTGTATTGATATGTCTGGTTTGAGCAGTCATTATCTCACATTATCATAGATAAGCCTAGGTGACACCCATGCTATATTTATTGATTTATTATAAAAATATGTATTATTACAACAAATGCAGCTAGAAATATACTAATATTATTATATATTTATGTGATAGGCATATGTTGAACTAGAATTATGAAATAATAAGTATTTATTAGTATTTGAAACAAGGATTTTTCAACTTTTGCAGTAACATATAGAAAAGTAGATAATAAAATGAGCTTCTGCTTGCATAGAAATTGTAACAAATACTACAGTGAACGTTTTTTTTTGCTATCAATAAGTCATTATGATGAATATCAGTTTAGTGGCGTTGGTATTGAAAATGGAAATTGTTCTGAAAACAGCATTATCACCCGGTGACGTAGTACTTTACTACAGCAATACCCAAAATAAATTTTCACCCATAATTCTATCACATTCAACATTGGTATATAACTATCAAACAAAAAATTCAGATGTTTTAAAAGCCAACTATATTCTTCCAAAAATAGATGCTTATGTTATTAATCTAGAACAGAAAGACATCCCAATTATTTTTGAAAAAATATCGAACATGCGATTGTGGAATTCCCGGGCAAAGTTTTTCATCAACATTGAAATGTCAAATGATGAAATCTTAACTACCATATTTGATACATTAGCAAAATATTATATTTATAATGTGATTGTTGTTGCAAACAATAAAACATTAACATATTATCCTTACAAGTATGAAAATATGCGCAATCCATTACTAACCTATGAAGAAATTACAACTTTGGATTATTTTCCAAACAAATTGCCGAAACTTTGGAGAAACACTACAATAACAACCTGTTATGTTTTTATGCCTCCATATTATTTGGGAGATATTCGTAACGGTTCTGATGTGATTCTGGTCGAATCAATTTTAAAACCTCGCTTGCGAATGTCTACGAATATGTCGGAATCCACTTTCTGGGGCACCAAATTAAGGAATGGGGCATACATTGGAGGAATGGGTGATCTTAAAAGTAAAAAAGCTGATATAGTACTAGGCGGTGCAATGTTCACACATTCTGATACTTACGATGATTTTGATACCACTACCCCATATTATGATGATGCTGCATTGTGGCTTGTACCCATAGCTTTGGAATACACTTCATTGGTACATTTAGTGATGGTTTTTACTAGGGAAACTTTTATGTTAATACTTATAACCAGTGCATGTTTAACTATTGCGTGGATCTTTATTCCAAGATGCCTGCCAGTGAAATATCCATATTATTTGTCAATATGGAATGTCTCCACAAAAATTTTGCGTAATTTCTGTGGTAATGTAGAACAGCATTCATCACAATCCATTCAACTTAAATGTCTACACATTACAACACTGTTTTTCGTAATTACTATCGCAGCAGCCTTCAGTGGAGCACTTTTTGGCAATTTGACAACACCTGTATATGAGCGTCAAATTTCTACTGTTCAAGATGTTATAGATAGCAAACTTATAATAACAATGTCAAGCGTAATGAGAAATACTTATTATGGATTTACGGACAAAAAGAAACAATACATTTATAATGTAACAGTTCAAGTTGACGATGCGGTAGAAATGGATGCAATATTGAAGAGGATTGCAGTTAAACGAGATATTACCGGATTTGCTAGCCGTAGAAACATGGAAATTCAGAATGTGGTCAAAGGTATCAGTTCCAGTAAATTTGCAGTTGCACATCCAAATCCAACTATGTTTGCATTGGTTGATGGCCAAGAACCGTTCAGTATAATAATAATACTCCAAAAAGGTCATCCAATGTTTGAACAGATTAAAAAAATTATGGTTATTGTGTTCGAAACTGGTATTTACGAAAAAATTTCGAATGAGTTTAGGTACTATATTTATTTAAAACAATTTAAAAGAGAGCCAGCGAAGGGTGGACATAAAGCAATTCGCTTTGACCAGATTCAAGGGATATTTTATTGTTGGATAGGTGCACTTTTTATTGCATTGGTTGTATTTTGTGGTGAGATTATTTATTATCGAGTAATTGACTATAGATGTTTAATGTTGGAATTATTTGTTGTGTTATAATAATGCTATCATCAAATCAAAGTGTGTTTATGAAGTTTTTATTGTTTTAATGGATTTGGATGTATTTAATGCTTATTTGAATTTAACGTAAAAGTCAATTCAATTATACATAAATAAATAAAAAAGAAAAAGTTATATTTTCCATTACACAAATAATTTTATAACAATTTAAGTTTCGTTACAAACTGGCTTTTGCTTGTGATTTTGCCTACGTGTTTTTTAATAAAAAAGTGGCGCATGTTATTATGGCATGTTTATCACACCTTCATATAATATTAATAAGTTTTTAGTAAATAGTTAATGTATAACCGATATACATATATTAGAAGCAGACTTGTATTGCAAGTTGGGTTTTAATAAAGTAAGGAGGGTGCAATTAGTTGACTTTGTTATTAAAAGCCACCGATCAAATTTGTACGAAACTTTGCAGTAGTTTTTAATATTTTTTTTGTCTAAGAAAGCAATAATTTTTATTAATATAACTATTTTTGATTTTTATGAATACTCTAATCTCTATTGAATTGTTATAATGTAAAAGCAAAAATGGTTCCCGGTACTACCATACTTTAATAATTACCTACTTAATTAAACTTTAATCATACTTTGTTCCTCGATTTATTACAAAAATGATTATTATTACAACAAACAAATACTAGTAGAAATGTCCTAATCTTATAATATATTTATGTGAGTGGCATATCTTGTAGTACCACAATAGAATAAAAATCATTTATTATTAATTGAAACCAGGACTTTATTGCTTTTAGTGAAAAATATTTATCGGCAAATTGATAATAAAATGAGCTGTTGTTTGCACGCACATTCTAGCAATGTAATAAATACCGATGTTTATGCAGTTTGTTTGGTTTCCTGAAATCATAATGTTGAATATAAGTTTGATAGCATGTGTATTGAAAATGGAAATTGTGCTGAAAACTGTTTTATTACCAAAAGACGTTATACTTTACTATAGCAATATCCAAAATGATTTTGCATCCATCATTCTGTCGCATTCAACATTGGTATATAACTATCAAACACAAAATTCAAATATTTTAAATGCCAACTACATTCTTCCAAAAATAGATGCCTATGTGATTAATCTAGAATCAAAAGACATTTCTATTATATTTGAAAAAATATCTATAATGAGATTGTGGAATTCACGTGCAAAATTTATAATTCACATGGAACAGTCAAATGATGAAATCTTAACTCCCTTATTTAAAACATTGGCATACTATTACGTTTATAACGTGATTGTTGTTTCAAACAATAAAACATTAACATACTATCCATACAAGTATGAAAATGTGCGCAATCCATTACTAACCTATGAAGAATTTACAACTTCGGAGTATTTCCCGAACAAATTGCCGGAACTTTGGAGAAACACCACAATAACAGCTTGTTACGTTTTTCTGCTTCCATATTATTTGGGAGCTATTCGAAATGGTTCTGATGTGATTCTGGTCGAATCAGTATTAAAACCTCGCTTGCAAATGTCTACGAATTTATCGGAATCCACTTATTGGGGAACCAAGCTACCGAATGGAGCATACATTGGTGGTATGGGTGATCTTAAAAGTAAAAAAGCTGACATATTACTAGGCGGTGCAATGTACACACATGCTGATGAATACGACGATTTTGACATCATTGACGCATATTATGATGATGCAGCAATATGGGTTGTACCTATAGCTTTGGAATACACTTCATTAGTAAATCTAGTGATGGTTTTTAATAGAGAAACTTTCATGTTGGTACTTATAACAAGTGCAAGTTTAACGATTGCGTGGGTCTTTGTTCCCAGATTGCTGCCGGTAAAATACCCATATTATTTATCAATGTGGAATGTCACCACTAAAGTTTTTCGTAATTTCTGTGGTGAAGTAGAACAGCATTCATCACAATCTATTCAACTCAAATGTCTTCACATTACAACACTGATTTTTGTCTTTACTATTGGAGGAGCATTCAGTGGAGCACTTTTTGGCAATTTGACAACGCCTGTATATGAGCGGCAAATTTCCACAATTCAAGATGTTATAGATAGCAAACTTATAATAACAATGTCAGGTTCAGTCAAGAAATCTTATTATGACCCCACAGACCCAATAAAACAATACATCTATAATCACTCAGTTCAAGTAGACGACGCGTTAAAATTGAATGCAATACTGCAGAGAATTCCAGTTAAACGAGATATTACCGGAATTACTACTCGTAGGAATAGTGAAAGCCAGAATGTGGTCAAAGGTATCACTTCCAATAGATTTGCAGTAACAAATCCTAATCCAACTATGTTTGCGTTGATTGATGGTCAGATATTGTACAATGTAATAATGATACTCCAAAAAGGTCATCCAATGTTTGAACAGATTAAAAAAATTATGGTTAATGTATTCGAAACTGGTATTTACGAAAAAATTTCAAATGAGTTTAGATACTATATTTATTTGAAACGATATAAAAGAGAGCCACCGAAAGGTGGACATAAAGCAATTCATTTTGATCAGATTCAAGGGATATTTTATTGTTGGATGGGTGCACTTTTTATTACAATTATTATATTTTGTGGTGAGATTTTTATTACCAACTAATTGAGTATAGATGTCTAATATTTGAATTATTTGTTGTTTTATAATGATGTAGTCAACAAATTCGAATTGGACAAAACTGGGTTAATTAAAATATTTTATGCTGAAAGACAGGGTCGAAGTTTTTTTAATAAAAATATTATCTGTTGAATGACACTTTTATTATCAACAATTAAAAATTGGTATTTTTAAATTCTGATTTCGGATTCAGACAGATTCTTAAATTTTAATTGAAATATTTAAGTGTTACATTGTTCCAACACTAATAATTTAGGCTTTAATGACAGTTTTAATGTAACTTGAATAGTGACAAAACCTGACTTTGTTAAGGTGATTATTATCAAAAGAGTTCATTTTAAAACAAAATTTTATTAAGATAAAGTATGTAGAATAACATGTTCTTCGATATTCGATAATAAAAAAGTAAAATTTTCAGTTTTTATTTTTTACATAGGAAATGATGGAGACAATTAATAAACTAGTTTTTCGAACATATATTGATAACCATTAGAGATACAGAAAAACGGTTTCCATATTCGTATGTAGATTTAAATTTTACATAATATAAGTTAAAATTTTCACTTATCGACATTTATGTAATAATTAAAAATGGACAATAACTTAAAAACTAAATAAGATAGCGCAACCAAATCTGGATTGTTGGATTCCTGGCATTGTTTTATATTGGTATGGAAAGTTTGGCGAAAATCGGAGACGTGGTTTTATTTCATCAGTTTTGAATTTACCAAGCATTTTCCGAAATATTGATGCTATCGGAAAACAGACTAAATATCTTCCACCCCTTGGAATACTCTATCGATTGGGGTTTTCCATTTTCTTCTAGCTCAACATTATTTTTTTAAGCCAAAAAGTAGTCAAGTTAACCACTTGACTCTTTTCGATTGGTTTTTGTGAACTTCTTAGAATGAAAAATCTAAATCTGCCATTTTACAGATCTTAATCTTGACATGAAGAAAATGCAAAAAGTTTTGCTATAACTTTTATAGTTTCCGAGAAAATTGTGTTGGAAAATCTGTTTTCATTACCTTACAAATTCAAATTTTAACATCTTATCTGATACAGAATTTTATTTTAAACTCAACACCGTTTTCGGTTTTTGATTATCATTATTAGATTCTGAGATAATGGTTGACAAGTTGACATTTCTTTTAATTGCATCTATGCGATAAATCCTTGCTTCAATTAAGTAGAAGGTTCTAAACAATTATTATTCATTTTTACGATAACCAATTAAAATGTCCGGCGCATCCGCCAATTTTTTATAAATCATGTAATCCTTTCTACGAATAATAAAAAGTTGTTTTCTGTGTTTATTAAAAAAAAATTTAAGCGTAAAAGTTTGGCCCTGTCTTTCGACCAAAAATAATTTAAACGGAAAAGTTCGGCCCTGTCTTTCGACCAAAAATAATTTAAACGCAAAAGTGCGGCCCTCGAGAACTCTTATTGAGCGCCCTCTGTCTACCAAAATTAATTTCATCGAAATATTCAACATAGAAATGAAAAATAGTGAAAAATTTGCAATTTTTGTCGGCCATTTTAGAGCAGTTCCTAAAGATTTTTAGAGACGGAAAGTACTAATCTTGTAGAACAACTCTTTAGCTATTATATGGCAGTAAAATTGTTTAAATTATACCTTTGGTTCCCGAGATACAGCGCGTTTTCCACACTAACTTTAAAAAATTTAAAATAATAACAATTTTGAATGGGCATTTTAAGAAACTTTCTAAGGGTTTAAAGGGTTGATAAAATACGCATATTATAAAGGAACTCTTTAGCTATAAGAGGATGATGCGGTTGTCTAAATGAGTGCATTGGTACCTAAATTACGGTGTGCATTCCACACCAACTTTTAAAATATTAAAAAAATATTTGAAAAGCATTTTAAGGCATTTACTCGAAGGTTTGCGGGTCCAAAGTGTACGCATCATGTAAAGGGATTCATAAACTGTGATAGGACGTTGAAAACCACAAAATTGAATCATTAATACCTTTGATACAAGGTGTTTTCTAGGTTAACTCTCAGAAAATTGTACGTACAACAATTTTCCAAAGGCAATTTGGGGTATGTATTAAGTGTTTAAAGGGCATAAAATATGTCCATTATATTAAAGGCCTTTTAAACTATCCTACGACATTGCAATACTTCATATTGATCGATTAGTACCAGACATATAAGGTGTTTTCCACGTCTAATTTCAGAAATTTGTATAAAACAGCAAGTGTTAAAGGGCATTTTGGATCATATGCCAATGATTTGATGGATATAAAATATATTTATCTTATAAAGGGAGTCTTAAGCTATCATTTAACATTATGCAATTTAAAATTGATTTATTCATGCCGGAAATATATGGTGTTTACCAAGCCAGTTTTAGAAATTAAAAATAAACTAAAGCACTTCTTAATTTCCTGCGTGCTGAAATTACAAGTAGCTTCGTTATAAATGGGTACAGATCAAATAAATTAAAGTTGATTGACAATTCCTTTGTAAAATCTGTTCGCATAACACTAATAAATTCCTTTTTTTTTAATTAAAATTTAAATAAAATATAATTACATTTCTACTTTTCGTGCTTCGAAACCGAGAAAAGTAGAAAAAGTAAATTTAACTTTAGATAAATAAATAACAACATAAAAGTTACTCATAACATTGTTACATATTTTTTATTGTTGTACACTCTCAACTACACTTGCGTTGACAAATGTTTTATTTTTAGTTTTATTACAAATACATATATAACAATTGGCAACAACTATTTAATCCCACTCAATACAAAATAAAGATAAATGTTGCAAGCTAAAGATAAATGCCACCCGCGCTTTTTATTTAGCAAGAAATAATTCAATATGTTGCAAATTAAACAAAAGTATGAATAAACATTAGCATTTCTCCAATATATTCCACAATTAAAAGAAATACCAGGCAAATGTATTCATGTAAATTATAATTATACTAAAACATATCTTTCTAAATTGTTCCAAACAAATAAAATCATTATTTGAACTTCGAATCATGATGAAAACTGAATAATAAATTGAGGGAGGGATGACAAGTAAAGAAACGCGAAACGTGAGTCTGCTTGTGGGCTAAAGTGGGCTCTGTAACAGGCAATGCCAAGGTCGTGGTAGGTTCTGACCGATCAAAAACAAAAAAACGCACGAAACGCACAACATCATGGCAACTCACTGTTGAAACAAGCAAACTGCGACAAAAATAAATTTGTGATCGCTGGAAGTCGTCATATTTCCATCAGAAATCTGTGATTTTTATTTCGCATCACGTATATAATATTCGTTCTATACAATACAAAATGTCAGCAGATAAAGGTGAGTAAATATAATATAAACACCTACTCAATTAGTAAACAAAAATAAATATTTATCTTGTAGAGAACATCTCCGTCGAGATTGATTCCTCCAAGGCAGCGTATCGTAGGCATGTATGGCAGTTATTAGAACACAAGCATCTGGCTAACTTCCCCAGACCTATCTATGGTCGTATTCCAAACTTCAAAGGCAGCGATGAGGCAGCTGCCAAACTTGCACAGCTCGAAGAGTTTAAGCATGCCAAATACATTGAAGTGAATCCAGACAAGGCACAAGAAAATGCGCGTGTTGTAGTGCTTGAAAACCACAAGCAACTGTATGTGCCAGTGCCTAGACTCAAGAAAGGTCTATTGAAATTGATAAATGTTGATGAGAATGCCAGCAAGGGAGATATACGCGCCGCAATTAGCCGACGCGGTATTGAACACGACGGGAAAACAATATCTCTAGGTGATCCAGTTGAAATTGATATGTTTATCATGGGCAGTGTGGCTGTGTCAGTGGATGGCCATCGCATTGGAAAAGGCAAAGGCTATGCTGATCTGGAGTTTGCTATGTTGCTCGAGATGAAGGCAATTACAGAAAAGACTGTTGTAGTTACAATTGTACATGACCTACAGGTAAATATTCATTGTTTTTTGAGTTAAAATTCATAATATTAACAAAAAAATATTTTCTAGGTATTTGATTCATTGCCAAAGGACATGTTCAAGCCTTATGATGTACCTGTCGATTATATACTCACTCCAAGCAAAATTATTAAAGTACAAAAGCGTCTTCCGCGACCAGAGGGTATTATTTGGAGTATTCTGTCGAATCGGCGAGTTAACCTAATGCCGGTGCTTCAGGAATTGCGCACAGCTGATGAAACGTAAGCTAAATATAATATTTTATTACAGATTAATTTATTTTGTTTATTAATATAGTAAAGGGCGAGATGTCACCCTGAAGGCTGAAGATACTGACGTTGAATCGTACGAGCCAAAGCGATATCTTGCTTACAGGCGTTTCCAGCGCAGACGGCCACGTTCAGAAGGACGTACGTCTGACTCGCAGGCTGAAGATAAAGACGAGAAGGATGATAAGGAGCGTGCGCCACGACAACGCTTCTCAAAACGACGACCGAGGTTTAATTCACGTAAAAACGACAAGGAATCTGGGGCGGAAGTAAGTTTTTCTTTATAAAAATCAAATAAATGTTTCATTTTTGCTTGTTTAGACAAACGATGCAGACAAGGAAGCAAAAACAAACCGTGCTCGTCGACAATTTCGTCGTAATAAGTCACAGATTGACTTTTCCTTGATGGTGAGTAACATTGAAAAGAATGTACGCGTTCGTGATCTGAAGAATGCACTCACCGAGCGCGGAATTAAGCCGAATGAGATCACCTGGCGTGGGTACAAAGGTTTCTGTTATCTGCATTATGCTAAACCGCGCGTCACTACCGAGAATGATGATCCTGCTGTGTCGCCGGTGGTTGTCGACAGCGTGATTGAGATTCTGCAGAATTTGAGAATTATGCCAGAGTCTGACAACAGCCTGAGTGTTAAGGTGATGGAGCCGATTTCGCGCATTGAAACTACAGATGTCACTGCTGTTTAACACTTAAGGCACTTAACATTTCTTGTTTGATATGCCGATGACAAGTTTTACGTACAAACATTTAGCGTTAAGTTCATTTTCACTTGTATTGAAACGATGGTCGTACATTCCATAAAAATAAGTTTACAATGCGCATGCGTGTGCTTCAGAATTGTTTTTGCTTTTATAATTATTTATAAAGAGTTTTTCTTTGTTATTGGATGTGATTAACAATAAATTTATTTTTTCAAAATGCTTGATTTTGATATCGATTTAATATCACTAACATTCATCTAGGTTCTAGGTTTGATTTTTTGCCTCTGGGGATGAGATAATGTGTGTTGATATTTGCCTCGTAACAAAAATAAGTTATACATATAAATTTGGTGTAAAACAATGCCGCGCTGTGTGAAGGTTATGAACGTAGGTTATGTTTGGCCCCCCTCTGCGTGAAAATATGCTTGGACTTGATCTTTAAATTGGATTTGTGTGTGTTTTTGTTTTGTTTTGTAAATATTCATATATCGTGTGTACATTCCGTTGTAAAGATTCGCGAATGTTTCATTTGTTTAATTAATAGTTCATATTTTGTTTTGTTGACGATTTGGTTCTTTACATTTTAAAATTTCTTCAATGTCTACTCACAGTTACTTATTAGTCCGCTAGGTGTGTGTGTGTCTAGAATTGAATTTGAGATTCCTCTTAATAAATATATAAATTCTTAGGTTTTAAAGGCCAGTATAGATTTAAATTCGCCATCGTAATTGCACTTTTGTTCATTTTTTATCCGCCGTTCGATCGTTCGGTGAAGGCGTCCGGTCTATAAAGTCCAAACATTGGACCTTCTGCAGGAGATCGTCACCCTTGTTATGGATATCGCTCGATTTGATTGAGAAACTGCGGCAGCCATGTTTGATCTTTGTGCTCACTTTGATCGCCGAATCGTAGCTGGCCATCTTCTGCAGTTTACCAGAGCGTGGTGATGCGGTGACATCGCTTTCCTGCCGGGTAACCAGTTTCGGACAACTCTGGCAGGTGTGCATGGCGGCACTGTTTTCGGGCAGGACTTCTAGCGGATTCGAGGAGTTCATTGCGTTTTGCAGCTCGCGCTCCCACGCTTGTTCTTTACGTTCACGTTCACGACGCGCCAACTCGTGGTAACGATTGTAAATTTTAAATTCGGGTATGATTGTGGGGTTTTGATCTAGAGACAACTCTCTTTCCTAATATACACATTTACATGTTCGTTATTAAAAAGGTTATGTTAATTTATTTCAAAACTTACTGGTTCAACAGTTGCTTGTATTTCCCGTACTGATCTTTGCTTAGCCAGTCGTTTCTTCTTTTTGTGCAGAGGCCTCGCTTCAATGATCATTTCTTCAAGCTCGAAAGTAGGATCGCAATTTAAATGATCCCGCTGTAATCCAATCCAATTATAAAACTTTTCATAACCTTATTTAACCTAATTTTTGACTTACTGGTGGAACATACAAGGGTTTAACTTTTCTTTGTTCAATTGATTCAAAATCAACACTTGTCAAACATGGCATTTGTTTGAGTTTATCAATAGAAGAAATTCGTTCATCAGGATTGATACAGAGTAGTTTTGAGAGAAGATTTTTTGTATTCATGTTCCATTCTTTAGGCGTATCATAACCAACTTTGAACATATCTCGCACTTCTTCGACTGTTGTTTGTGAGTGAATCGGGAATGGTCTGTGACCTTCTAACATCTCAAATGCAACCACGCCTAGATAATTCGTAAATAATCAAATTAATTGTTATTTTTAAACACGGATTAGTATAAATATTACCTAAAGACCACCAATCAACAGAATACGAGTATCCAGGTGATAAATCAAGCGCACAATCAAAGATTTCCGGCGCGATGTACGGTTTTGTGCCGGACATAGATGTCGCTATTTGTGACTCATCCAAAATGGTTGCAATATTAAAATCTGTGATGTGTGCAAAACCTTACCAAAACAAAATTAATTAAAAGTAAATATTATGTTAAGTTGCATAATTCAACCGCACCTTCTTCGTCTAATAAAATATTGTCAGGTTTAATATCTCTGTGCACAATGTGCTTGGTCTGTAGATAATCTAAAGCTAGTGCCAATTCTTGCACGATCAACATAACAGCATCCTCGGTGAAATTGACTTCTTGTGCCATGTGGTAACGCAAATCTCCGCCGAGCAACAAATCTGTCACCATGAATAAATCTTCTTCATCTGTATAATAATAAAACCAAAATTTTATATCAATAAAAATTTAAATAAACAGTTTTGCATGTGTTTACCTTGAAAAGAAAACCACATATTCACCAAAAATGTATGCTCCAGTCGTGTGAGTATGTCAACTTCCCTCAAAACATTTTTCAGCGCGTCTCGTTCGATGCATTGCTGTTTGTTCATGTATTTCATTGCAAACATTTGCTTGGAGTCTTTCTTTTGAACAATACATACCTAGAATAATTATAAATATAAAATCGATTTCTTAAATATCAAAATTCAAAGTTTTAAATGTAGGCAACCAAATATACATTATATTGTTTTATTTTTTAAGTTTTTATTTATTACTACTCACTTTGCCAAAGCTTCCTTTTCCTATCGCACGTAGGATTTGGAACTGATCAAAGTTGACTGCAAATGTAAAATAAAATCAACAAAAGAAGCAAAATTACTCCGTCCTGTACAATATACACAGTGTGAAGAAAAAACAAAACAAAAACAAAACCTGTAGTAATCAATCTTCAAACCAATCTAGCGGAATGTAGTTATGTATTAATCTAGTAATGTGTGACGCGAGAGTGGAGCACGCTCCGTCGAGCAAATTTATTTCGCATTAAGCTCGAGTCACCGGCAAGAGAGCGCGGAAGAAGATCGATTTCTTGCCGGCCTGTGCCACAAACTCACCGCGCTCGCTCGAGTTTTCGTTCCGTTCGCGTGGATATTGTGAGCGTGTGCAAGCGAAATAATATAATTCGAAAGCTCTGAGGGCGCCCGAAGGGATGAGGGGACGCGCTGGTTCTATTTGCACGTTGATAATGTTTGCTTTCGTTTCGCGTTTGTTTGTGTACCTACCCTTAGTATTCAATAAAACAGATCAGAATTTGGCACGTTTCCAATTCGAAATTGAAAACAGACGCGCGCGCCGTAAACGGATTAAAAACTAATCAGCTTGCATTAAAGTTTAGATTAGATTTGAATTAAATTTTATACATAGATTAAAACAATTTATAATATTACCTTCTTCGCCGTAGGAAAACGATTTGTGCAGACGTCCGGATTGATTCGCACCCATTTCACAAGTTATTCAATTGCTTTGTCTACCTGCAAAGTTATAGAATATTTATAAACATGTTGAATATGTTTGTGTGTTGTGTGTGATCTTTGCTGTTTACGAAAGCGTGCGTCAATTGTTTATCAAACACACACGCATACCAACATACCTTTTGTCCGTCGGCGTCGATTCACCACTCGCAATCACATATTCCATTGATATCAAACTGACAATAATTGAATAACACGTTGTGATTATTTCTTCTCGATTGATCATGTGTCGTTTATCAGGCGGATTGTAATCATGGCGGTGTAGGTCGGAATTTCAGCATGCCGCGAGTGTGATGTTTATGCGTTTGTGGCGGCGGCTGCGGAGGCGGTAGCGGCGTGCGTGAACCCGTCGTGATGTTGTGCTGCGACTGTGCAATCTACGTCCCGTCCCGCCGGATATTCAACTGCGCAGCGGCGGCGGTAGTGGTTGCGGCCACGGCGGTGGCGGCGGCAACAATCAACTCACTTATTACTAATACAAAGTATCGGGTATTGGTCACACCTTTTATTAATTCTTGAAATTCATTTACACGGAAATTTCCCTTATATGATTAGTAATAATATAAACAAAAGTATTTTATAGATAATAACTAGTTAACCGGGCAAACGTTGTTTTGCCATATAAATTATTTCAAGTATCTAGATAAATTTTAGTGTAGACAAAAAGTAACTTACTTATTATAAAAAATAGGGGTTGGTGATAAGAAACCAAAAATTTAGGGTTGTATGTATATTTTAATGCCACATTAAAAGAATAAAACCAAAAAATTTCGACCAAAATTTAAAAAAAATTAAGGGTGAACAACCCTTATCACTTAGAGATATGAAGTTACCGATTCTCAGACCTACTGAATACGCATATAAAAATTTTCTTTGAGCGGGATGAAAAATGATTAAATTACTAAAATGGCTATAAAGAAATAGGGGTTGGTGATAAAAAACTAAAAATTTAGGGTTGTATGTATTTTTTAATTTCACATTATAAAAAAATAAAACAAAAGAATTTGTCCAAAAATTTAAAAAAGTTAAGGGTGAACAACCCTTATCACTTAGGGTATGAAAAATAGATGTTAGCCGATTCTCAGACCTACTGAATACGCATATAAAATTTGGTAAAAATCGGTAAAGCCGTTTCGGAGGAGTATGGAAACAAACACTGTGACACGCAAATTTTATATATATAGATAATAATAATAAATACGTGAAGAATAAATAATTTCTATTGAAAATGTTAGCACTCCGATTATGATTCCAATCAATAAAAACCAAAATGGTCCTTGTAATTGTATGATACTTAAAGTTCTCGGTTTGATTGGGGGGAGGTTATCGTCTAGAAATTTCAAGATGGTGAACATGTTGAACATTTTCATGTACATATCCCACTCCCATTTGTGATATAATCCTGCCTCCTTGCATTGTAGAATGAAGTCGTTAAGTTGAGGGATTAACGTGGCGTATGAACTTCTTCGAGCGTGAAAATGTGTATAACTTATTTGTGAGGCGCTTTTGAGGGTTTTCTCGACAATAGTCTTGGAATATCAACCAGAACTAAAATTTAACTTGTTAATATTTTGATGCGTGTTGGTGTGAAACACTTTTTACGGCCTGATTCTGTCATTAACCAGTGATGAATTGCCTTTGCACCTCCACGTGTTAATTGTTCCATTAGTTTTGTGTATCTTGCGTCTTTAACTTTTTCTCTCTGTTGATATAAAGTGAATTATGTAGGTATTTGGATTGAGATAGTTTAATGATATGGTTTTACTTGCCTCAATTGGATCGGTAATATCTTGGTGTGAATACAAATCGGCGAAACTGACTTTTAAGTATCCGTGTTCCTCAATTTCATCTTCTGTTCGAATTCCATCTTCGTATCTAATAAAAAAAGTAGTAAACTGTAATTTTTGAATTGATATAATAAAAATTAATGAATTTTTACCTTGGTACTGCCATTTGTGTAACAATTCCAGTCGCAAACAGCGAAGAAAATTTGACAACAGCTATTAATGCTAATGCAAATACCATTCGGGATGATGAACGTCGTGGAACTTGTTTAAAACTCAAAGATTGTGTTAAAAATGTTCCATAAACTGTCATTATAGGACTTTGTATAGGTGAACTGAAGAGTATGTTCCATAACATTAAAAAAGAAAAAAAAATCAGAAAACCTGAATATTCTCACCTGGTTACTAACATTTCAACCCAAAAGTAAACAATAAAAGCCATGATTGAAAGTAAAAGTGGAATCCATATTTGAAGTTGGAAAACTTGTACTAATTGCAACCAATTGATGTAGATTCTAGAAATTACGACATTGTAGGAAAGTAAAACAGAAATTTGGACTGAAGTTAGAACAGGAAGTTTGGGAATTTTGTATAGACAACCAAATGAACGTATTTGTATTCTACTTCAATAATAATACAATTTTGTTACCAAAAAACTTACTTAGGTATTGGAACAAAATAGGTTAGATGCATTTCCGTCGACGGATACGTTTGCGGCCATTCCTTTTGCCCTGAACTTGCATGATCCAGATAAAAATAATACTCTATGTTTTGCTCTTCCTCTGCATCATAAGATATTTTTGCTTTAAATTTGACACCTAAATGTTTTGCAAAATAACGCATAACATTAACATCCATTCCAATAAAATCACCAGAAACTGTTTTAAATATAAACTCAAATCTTTGACTTATTTGAAGTTTAATAAAAGCATTAGGATTTGTTCTCCATCTTGCTTTGAATAAAGAATTGATATTTATATTATCATCAATAAAATTATTCCTATTGATACTCCAGCGATTTAAAAGCACAACAGTTCGTAGATGTAAATCATCAAATCCTTTTATATCAAAATAATTCTGATTTCGTTCGATGAAAATAACATCACGACCAAAATTATCCGAATGATTTAAATGCACAGACAGATTATACAATTGCAGGATGATTAATGTTTTCATCTGAGTATTGCCATGTTGAATCATACAAGATTTGTACGGATTGTACAGTTTATGCACTAATGGATCTTCAATAATGAATTGACGGCAACCATGATTGCATTCGTTGGAATTTACAACTGTAGGTATTGTTTGCACTTCAGCACCGGAAACGGAAAGTGCACTGCGTTTCAATGAGTCATAATAATGTGCAATACAGATGTCACTTTGAAAATGCACATTAACAATAACACTCAATAATAAATTAAGAGAATATTGTACTGTTGTATTAATAAGAAACAGTTCTTGCAGCATTTTCAGTTTAACACTAAACCAGAAACAATATGTTCAATACAAACTAATTTTTATATAAATAATAGCGTCAATTAAACGTATTATTGCACAATTTATAAAATGAATGAATATTAACCAAAAAGGTCAGACACTAAATGATAATATGAATCAACGTCGAGTTCGTTTACGTATGCGTTTAATCATGTTCATATTTACTCTTCCCTGTGATATCAAATCCGATTCTGATGGCCGATCATCCTCTTCATCGTCTTTACTTTCATCTTTTAAAAATACATCACTATGGCTTTTCATTTTTTCCATAGATTGAAGCAAAACTGCAAATGTAAGATATTTTTAAATACTTGAGTACTTATATATTGCAAAATATTTAATATTGATTTTAATTATACTTTGATTCACAGATAGTTTTTGCCTCGCCATGCTTCCTGAACTTCTCCATAGTCCAGCAGGCATGCTACGTCGATTCTTCTGCCATTTGCGGAAGTTTTCATGTTTAAATAGGAAACAATCACTTGACGCAGAAGTATCCTATTAGAAACAAATTTATGACATTGAAATCTTTAGATGTATGTAAATAAAACCTACAATGCAACTGAACCGCTAGACGACTTAGGTACCATTACGAGCAACCCGCAAAATGGAGTGGGGGAAAGTCATTAGGTAAACATGTAAATCTCTCACCACTCTTTGCAGAAATTACAATAAATATGATAAATACTTACCAGGTCTGATATAATCTCTGAAAATATCATAACTTCATATGGATCCATATCCACTTTAGGCACAATGAAAACTTTCGCCTTTGAACCCAACGAATTCGGTGTGCGAGTATCGATTACAATCAAAGCCGGTGAACCCCTTCACAAATGAACAACATTTTACACCAAAATATAACAATCATTACAATAGACATTCCTATCAATACCTTGGTATAATACACGGGGCAACAAACACTTCTTGAGTAACATAATCCGCAAGTGTACCTTCAACTAAAACAATTTCTTCAATATTATCATTCGCACGAAATATTGTATACGCGTCCATTTTGGCAATAAAAGAACGCGCCATTAACGCATTCATTTGGTCCCACTTAATATCCGAATACAATGGTACTTCTCTAAGCATAAGCTTTACAAATTTGTAAACTATATGTGTCCATATTCGGGAAAATAATCTAAAAAACAAACATTTCAATAAAAAACTTAATATATTAACAAAAATATTATGTCTTACCCATTAATTGGATCAATACTCAACGCCATAGCTTCAGCAATAACATTTTTTTGTCAAAATGAAAGCCTGTGTGGGTATTTCCGCGTACACATCACAGCAATATGGCCGCCCGGTCATCACCGACAACTCCCCAATACTACTCCCAATAGAAATGTATTCTTCAGTAGGAAAATCAAACAAAGGTTGACGAATCATATCCTTAATCGGCAGTAAACCATCCATATGAAGATTATCCAACATTTCCTTGGTAGGATTGTAAACCACTTTAATCATTCCTACAATATTCATAACATAACCATACTTTTACACCCTAAATACAAAAAATATATATTTACCTGTGACAATTACATAAACACCTTCAGCAACATCTCCCTTTGAATAAATCACATCGCCTGTATCCCACACAATCAACTTAACCTTTTCATACAGAAACTTAAACACATGTTCTTCTCCATCCAACCAAACAATTTCAGCTAAAATACTCTTGGGGCTTGGATTCGGAATGGTTTTTATCTTATTAACAGCTTCCCACTTGTCGGCAATCACATCATTCAATTCCAAGTACTCATCAGCGTCCAGAAGTCCATCGACAGATAATTGTTTCGCCGCATTGTGGATGGTTGTCATCGTACACATCAACCCTTGACGTGTTTTCAACGCCATGATTAACAATGGCCGCGTCATCTCAATCAAACCCAATTCTTTAGCGATTTTATTACGATCAGTCTGGAGTCTCAGCCGGACATTTTTCGATATTTTCGGTTCATCTGTGAGTGTATTCAAAATATCGTCTACATCTTCATAGCTAGTGACAAGTCCACGTCCAATGGCGTAGACATAACGAAGTTTAGCATCGGTACGTTCATCATAACTTCTTAATATATATTGTCGTATTCTAGTGGTCCATCGGAATATTCGGAAAATGCGAGCCATACGAAGTGAACCATGTATAAACAATCTCACCCGGTAGAACACACTCTTTTCTTTCAAATATATATAGAAGTAATCGATGAGTATACAAAGAAGGAAGTCGACTATACTGTAGAGTAACAATATAAAGTCAAATTTGTTCCAAAATGGCCTAGAATGAAATAAAAAAAAAAACAATAAATATTCTTGATTTTTGTTAAAATATTTAATTACTTACTTTATATATCGATGAAATCCATCTTTTGTGTTTATAGATTGACACGCGAAAATTTTTACAGCAAATTCAACGAAGTATAAAATAAGTGCTATCGTTAGAAACGCCATGAAAAAATGTCTATGATTTAAAGCTCCGCTAGCTGATAGACAAAATTGTAACAATGTAAGGAAATCGAAGAATGCCATAAAGTAGACATTTGTCATTATTCTATAACACCGTGGGTATCGTGGGACGTAGCGTCTTTTAAACTGTTTCTTATTGTGAATGAACAGTCTTTTTCTGAGTCCTTCATAGTATTTCTATAAAATAAATCATATAAATAATTCCAATATTAAAATCAAAATTGCGTTGTGTTTTACATTGTGATGTTTCTCTTGAAGTTGTGCAAGGACGGGCTCAAACTTCATTGTATGATCTTTGGAATCTAAAGCTTCGTCGAGAATACGTAGAAGTGCTCTTAGTACAACAATATCAATAAAACCACAATCAAATTGTCGCACGAATGATACTCGAACTGCGTGTAGCACTCTCAAATTCACTTCGCTAAAATTTCATCGATAAGTAAATAAATATTAATTATTTTATGTTGTGTAAAAGATACTCTAATTTATCTTGGTATTCTCTTTTGGATGGCTCATGTTCAACCGCAATCTGACAGTTGTTACAAAACGGCTGCATTTTTTCAAAAGTCAATCCATCTTCATACGTGAGAGTATCATCGTCATTTGCTATTTTACTGCTGATTAATGAACTTCCGATTATAATTTTCCAATTGGCATCGTTGTAATACCTAAATACAATTAAACAAAACATAACCATGTTTGTAAGTTGAATATTTATATGGTAAAGTATTTCTTACCGGTTCATTCGTGTGATAGCCAACTGTTCATCCCTAATCTTCTCAATAATCTTAAAAGCATTCTTCACATTAGCCCTTGCCAAAAGAAATTCATTCCCAGCAAGTCCCAGTTTTTTCAGTATTGACCAAGATGAGAGTTCATTGAGTGCATTTATCAAAAACATATAATTCAATCCTAACACAAGTGTCTTTTTAGGTACAACTTCATGAAAACCTTCAAACACCACCACAGAAAGCAATATAAAAGGCAGTGGACCTTTCTTTACACACCACACCATTGTAACAAGAGATTTAAAATTCATCCCATATCCCCAGCGGCTCAACAATGGAGAAATACTAATGAAAAACACTAATCTGCAGGCGTTTGCACAAATGTACAACGCAAGTGAGACCGCAGTCGTCATGACAGTGAAAGAATCCAAAAACTGTGGTAGTGTGTTACACACAACTAAAAAAGTAGTCACAATCGACATGATATAATAGATCACGTCGATTAAAACAACCACTTCTTTATCAATATGTTGTGGAATCATGATTCTTTTCTGGCTTATCAAAAGCATGCCGATGAAACAACTTAATCCTCCACTACAGCTCACTCCAAACTGTGTAATATGGTACAGCATAAAATTCGTGGTCATAACCGATAGTAATGTCCACGCGAAGTTAATGCAGTACTTTGAAAATATCAACGCAGACAAAAAACCTAAACCAATGCCTAATACAATAGCTCCCAGGAATAGTCTCATGAAAACCAGTACAGGTTGGTACCAATAGATAAACAATCCTTTCAAATCACCAAATAATAGATTCAAAGAAAGTATTGACAGAATAGAAGTAATGATAGATTCACTCATCATCACTACACGAATGTGTTTCATCTGTTCCATGTTCAACAACACGCTTGGAAGTTCCAAAGGTGCAAACAGCACTCCTATTAAGCATAATTTTGTAAATGTCAGTGTGGTCAACTCTCCAGCAAAGGTAAGGAGTAGAAATCCAAAACATATTACAAATACAAGCCAGCCGAGCACGCCGATGAGTAGGATATGTGAAAGAGACTTGCGGAAAACATACGTGTCCATTGGGTAGACAAATCGTACCATCATGAAGGTGTAGTAGATGGTCAGCATGTTGTACGGACTGACCATAACACCCGAGAATTTGTCCAGTGGATACCAATAGAATATGACTGCTGTGATTACGCCCATGTACATCGCCACCAGTTGGGCGCTGAGTTCGAATGCTTTGGATTTCACGTAGTGGCACAAGAGCGGGGCTACTATCATAACACTTGATATGGCCATCACGGTTATGCTCATTTTCTGCCGGTGTTCTGGGGTGAAGAGGGCATCTTGAAGATGGTCGCTTGAGACTGAATCACCGGGTTTAATTGGTTCGTATTCAGACATTTTCAGAATTATTGTAGAAGAATTTTTGTTGTTTGTGTAACAGGAAGGTTTGTACGTTGGTTTCTACGAGATTTGTTTGTTTTTAAACAAATTTTTGTTTTTGCCACAGCCTTTGTGTCTTTTTGCTATTTTTGCTAATTTGAACGTTTTCAAGGCATTTTAGCTGCATTTGTGACAAATATTAAACATTCACGCCTAAATACCAGCTATTCAACTTGAAATTCAAACATTTTCTATCCTTTCTTAAAACTAAATCAAAAATTAACTCAATTGTGTTCTTTTGTGAGGTTAGAAAATCATCGCTTCTTGAAAACTATAAAAGTGTAATTAGCCACTAGATGCTGTAAGCATTGAATAAAATTCCAAATAAATCAACTGATATAGGATTGTACATGATACAAGGCAGTGTTATTATCAACTCTACGATGGTCTACGGAAAGCCTCGCCGGCGTATTTCGCCTTATCGCCGAGCTCCTCTTCGATGCGCAGAATCTGGTTGTACTTAGCCAAGCGCTCAGAACGGCAAGGTGCGCCGGTCTTAATCTGTCCGGTGGACAAACCTACCACCAAATCAGCAATGAATGTATCTTCAGTTTCACCAGATCTATGCGACACCATCGTGCCCCATCCGGCGGCTTTAGCAGTTTGGTGAGCCTTGATCGACTCGGTGACTGAGCCAATCTGGTTGACTTTCAGCAATAGCGTATTACACGCCTGTTTCTCAACGGCTTTCTGGATACGCACCGGGTTGGTGACGGTAAGATCATCACCGACGATTTGGATATTCGTCTTGGCAGTTAGGTCAATCCAAGAGTTCCAATCATCCTGATCGAAGGGATCTTCGATGGATACGACGGGGAACTTTTGATGTAATGAATGTAGGTGTCTCGCAGCTTAGATGGAGCGAGCCACTTTTCCTTGGGGATTTGGCGCTCTTAAAGTCCAAATCGTATTTTCCCTTTTTGTAGAATTCAGAAGCAGCGCAATCCATACCTGAATAATATTAACAACATAAAATAAACCAAATTTAAAACAAAACAAAAAATATCTTACCGATGGAAATTCTTCCTGCATAACCAGATTTCTTGATCGCCTCAGTGATTAAATTGAGCGCATTTTTGGCGTCTTTGATTTTAGGCGCAAAACCACCTTCATCGCCAACAGCAGTCGACTGCAGACCGAATTTCTTCTGGATTACTGCCTTCAAATGATGATAAACCTCACTACCCATCTTCATAGCTTCACAGAAACTCTTGGCGCCAGTCGGCAGGATCATAAACTCCTGCATTGCCAACTTGTTACCAGCATGCGATCCTCCATTAATAACGTTAAACGCCGGTACTGGCAGGATGATCTCGTCATTACCAGCCAGTGAAGCAATGTGCTTGTACAATGGCAGGCCGCGTTTAGCTGCGCCTGCTTTGCACACAGCCAAGGAGACTCCCAAAATGGCGTTTGCGCCCAGAGTTGCTTTATTCTCAGTGCCATCGAGTTTCAACATTAATTCGTCGATCTCGCATTGTTGCGTTACTTCAAGGTTCGATTTGATCAATTCGGGGGCAATGATGTCGTTCACGTTGGCAATGGCTTTCAACACGGATTTTCCGTGGTAGTGAGCTTTATCTCCATCTCGTAATTCAAGAGCTTCATAAACACCTAGACAATAATATTTATATTAATTTTTGAAGTAAATTAAACAGAAAAAAGCTAAAAAATTAATATTTTGATATTATCTTGATAAAAATCACAGAAAAATTATGTTTATTTCAATGTTTAATGTATAAACTTGCATATTAATGCAAATTTTATGATTAAATGTAAGCATAAAGTTGTATTAAAGAAAAACATGAAAAAAACACAAAAATCATGACTGACATAACATGAAATAACACGTACAACATAAATAAATGTAAAATATGAATACTACATACCTGTACTGGCACCAGAAGGAACTGCAGCTCTGAACAATCCCAAATCAGTGATGAGATCAACCTCAACAGTGGGATTGCCTCGGGAATCAAAGATCTGCCTTGCAAATATGTTTTTAATAGGCATGTTGCACTCTTCTTCAGTGGAATACTTCAAATGTGAATACAGGCACTTAACTCTGAAATCCAAGCAGTAATATAACAATAATTAACAATATCCACCAATTATATAATATATTACAACATTAGTATAAACAACAAATAATAACCTCAGATTAACCAGTGAGAGTATTCGCCTTAATGCAAACATTTTTATAAATTAATTTAATTCAATATCATTTAAAGACCAAATAATTAATAAAAATAATTAATATATAGCTCCAGTGAATTTTCTATGAATATTTGAAACTTATGAAAGGCGAAAATGCGGCATATACTTACAAAAATTTTGATGTGATTGATGAAGCTTACTCGACGTTTGATTCCAAACCGTCAGTAGACTAAATGCCAACAAATTGTCCAAAAACTTGTTTTATTGCAGGACGTACACGAATTGTTTATCAGTTGGACATCAAGTGTGAATAGATGTGACAATGTCGAATAGAGGGCAAAGGGGACAAACGGGACGAATGTTGAACTTGCACTGGAATTTGCTGAGGTGGCATCGAGGTGGGAGAGACAATCATTCGGAAGTTTAAACCGTATACTAATTGATATTTAAACTATTTACACTCTAGAAGCCATCATCATTAACAAACAAATAATATTCCGCTAGTCACGCCTAGTTTATGTCAATGCATACATTTTATTTGATGAATTTATGATTTGTTCATAGTGTAGCCATCTAAATGAGAAGTTTCTAATTAAAACTCAAATTTGGGCGCTGATAAACCAAACTTTAAAAGTTTTATATTCTTAACCATATAAAACGTTATTCAGTTGTTTTATTCGAAATAATAAAACACAAGTTTATCACATGTAGTGCGTTTCTAAGAATTGTGCAGCGCATCAATAAGAGATATCGTGAACAAATACAATCTGCATTGATGAATGTGTCGAAATCAATTTGTTTACTCTTTTTCGACACTCGACTGACGTCAACATCGTGTATGGTCCGCTTCAATTACGCCGATTATCATTTTAGACAATGCAAAACACTCTATGTGGTGTACGAACATGACGCGTTATTATTGTGAACAATTAAAATTAAAGCCGCACTCGATAAGATGATGCGTATTTCATTCATTCACAGAGCCACAGAGTTCGCTCAACAATAAAAACATTGATTGAGTATTGCGGCATAGAGAAAAAAACAACAACGAACGGTTGGAAAATGGTTGCGTGTTGTGAATTCGGACTTTGTGTTTGATGATGCGCGTTGTCACATGAAACGTTCCGCAATGGTTTAAAATGAATTGACCTGCCTGCATGGCACCCAGCTGTCTATCAATAAAATCGCCGATGCAGCGCCATCAATCACGATTGATTGTGTAATTAATCATTTTATGAACAATTGCGATGGAATGCACATCTGGTACATTCGCAGCGAGGCATTAATGAATTGTAACATTGTACTCAAAAGAAGTTACAAAAATCATCTAGAAAAACAATGTAAACAAACAAAAACAAAACTCAACTTAAAAATTTTAATTGGTTGTAAATTAACGCATGTTATTTATACTTGCAACCAACACCTCCGCCATTACGAGTCTTGCACGCTGAAGTGTAAATCAGTAATGAATGAGTGTGTGATTTATAATTGAGGTGCCCATTGTTGCTCGTGTTTCTTTGTGAATTTGATTAGATTAAAGTGCATGCATGCAAACACGCATATTTGTAGCGAAATGCGTCGCAAACAAACAAATCGCGCGCCGTTATAGGCCGGCTCGCGCTTGCGTGGCGCATTTGGCGGTCATCGATGACCTATATAAGTGCGCATCTTCACGCCGCGTGGGTAAAACGGGTAAAACATCGATCAAGTGTGAAAGTGCCGATCTGCAGATCAATCTCTTAACGCGGGCGCCATGAAGCCAAAACTCGCGCTCGTACTCCTTCTGGGCCTCGTTGTCGCTCATGAAGTCATTGGAAGATCTACTTCCCGGGTGGTAAGCATTCACACCATCTTATTAAATCAAATTTTTGTGCCTGAAAACGGTTAGATATAAAACAATTTTAAAGAGATCAAAATGGCCGACTTTAAATTTATGCACTTCCGGTGCAACACGTGGTTAATTAAAATTTACTTTTGTGTGAAGTATTTTCTGCATCATATTAAACATATTTTTTGTTTCTGTAAACGATTGTGAAAGAATTTAAAAGAAATCAAAATGGCCAACATGAAATTTATGTATTTCCGGTGCAACACGTGGTTAAGCAAAATTTTCTTACTTTTACTTTTGTGTATAAGCATATTCTGCATGAATTAAGAAGTTTTTGCTTCTAAAAACGGTTATAAAACATTTTAAAAGAAATCAAAATGGCCGACTTAAATTTGCTGTACTTCCGGTGCAACACGTGGTTGAGTAAAGAGTACTAAATTTTCTGGAGTTAAATAAAACAAAATATTAATTAAACATTAAAGGCTCGTTCACCCGCTGAAGTCCTGGATAAGAAGCCAGAGGTGAAACCGGAGGATGAGCCTTGCGAATTTGATTCGCCATGCGGTTGGGCCGTTTACGTCCGCGCCAGCCGCGAGGTGGATTACTACGTGTACAAGTAAGTCAACAAAATTAAATTTAAAGCAATATTTAATGTAATTCGTTTGGTTTTCTAAATAATAATTAGCTGCAAGTGCAAGTCTGATGAGTTGTGCACCAAGTATGAGGACGATATCTCCACCAAGGCATTTGTCTACAAGTGCCGCCCGGACGATACTCTCTTCAACAGCACTAGCACCACTAGTGCGCCCTCTACCGTAGTGCCCACCAGCGCTCAGTAGAACAATTCGCCTCATCATTCATCTCATCACCCGTTCACGTCCCACACAAACTCAACTACTCCCATTCTTGCACTAACTCTCATCCTTCATGTACTTTCACCCGCGGTATTAGTAGCAACTAATCGTGTTTTAATCCTAATTATTTTAAACCTACTAAAATAATTTATTTTATTGTATTTGACTTTTAAACATAACAAAATGTTTGTAAACTTGACTGTGCTGCACGCGGTTCAGTCGAGTATTAATGCAGCTTTTTGCATTTTTATTGTGTATTTTGATGAGATGAAATAAAGAATTGCAAAGATAATTCAGTCTTATAACATTGCCAGTTTTAGGTTAGATTAACCGTAACCACCAACCTTCATAAACGTAACCAATAACCTACAATTAACCGTGCCGGTCAAAAAGTCCAGAAAAAAATATTAATTTCATTCAAACGCACATAGTGCGCGTTAGTTTCATCTTATCAATGGCGATTCTTGTTTTTTAACTATTAAAAGCAATATCATGACTTTACATAATCCTGTACAAAATTTCATCATTAATCAAAAATAACTTTTTGAGCAAAAAATCCTTCAGTTTCATTAAGATTGCGAAGCAAAAACGATGATTACCATAAATTTGACCATATGTATACATAAAATATTAGGTTATGTTGCCTTGTTCACTAATGATGCAAACTTAACTCAGCGATAAATTTATATATTATTGACTTTATTGTTTCATTAAAGTACGGATTAAAAATATAAATTATTTAACGCGCTTACCATAAATTACTTACTCGTGATCATCTCTTCATCTTCTCGTTTGTCGTCATAAATGTAAATAGAAATGTAACTTTGTCATAACATGCAGAAATAATACCTATATGATTCATTCAATTTTTGAATTTCGTTGTAATCGTTCCGGATGGGTCACAGCCATTTGTGAAAAGTCACGAACCACATCTTTGAAAGTATCATCGCCCGACACTCCTTCATTTGAGTCTTTCATTTCCTCGTTCAATCGACCAAGACGTAATCTAAAACAATATAATTAATAAATTTTAAACTCCAAATCAGATATTAAACTCTTACAATGTGACAATATCAGCATTCTCGTTTGTTTCTGCAATTTCAAGCGGGACCTTCCCAGCGTTGTTGCCTAAATGCTGATCGGCATGATGCTTCAAAAGGAAACAAACTTGCGCGGTATGTCCACGTTGTGTGGCCAAATGCAGTGCTGTCCATCCATCCTCATCCTGGACGTTGAGTTTAGTGCCGTTTATCATTAAATACGCCAAAGCCATAACAGATCCCTAAATATTAAATTTAAAATTAACATATTCGCTTTTATTTTAATATAAAAACTTCATACACTAATAACTGCTTGATGTAAAGCCGTGCGATTCTTATCCTCTACATTCTCCCAGTGTTTATCCGCGCCCAATGCTAATGCCTCACACATCACAGGCAGATTATGCGCAGCGGCAGCTTTGTACAACAATAAATTCGGATGTAACTTAGAAATATCTTCAGCATTTGGATCCTCCTCTTCTTCACCACCTGTTGAATCATCTTGATCTGTACCTAAACTAAGCGAACCAATAATCGGTTCCTTTTCGAATTCACCACCAAATAACAAAACAGACGAGCCACTATCACGTCGTTGTTGTAAATTATTGTCACTTGACACGATTTCCGTTACTGGTCTCTCCGGAAACGAATCTCTTTTAGTCTTCTTTAAATTCGTGTCGACACTTCGGGGTCGACGACGAAGTTTCCTAACGCTCCACTTTCGCACGTCTGAATAACGTGATGATCGTTGACTTGATGATTCAAACGGCATTAATTGCTTGATAAATTGTTTCTCAACATATTTCGATTTAATCCAATTATCTCTAACGATTCTATTAAAATTTGTAATATAAAATTAAAAATTTAAAAACACATAAAAAGCAAGGTTATTTTTACCCAGTGCAACATGGCGTCGCCCTAATGAAGGTTTCCGGTACGAGCGCTTCGTAAACACGATTAACAACTGCATTACCCAACTCGGCCATTACTTTAACCACTTCCGGTTCCCAATCATCCAGAGTCAACGAACGCACCTTGCTGTAATGCACTCCGAGGCTACGATGCACGCCAGAACAATCAATACACAGCGTAATTCCAAGATTAATACTCGCCCATCTTGGATTCGGACTGCCGCAATCACAACACAAATTATTTCCTGGTATTTTAATCAACTGCTCCCACATTCTAATAAGTTTAATAATAGTATTATTATAAGTTTTTTTTTTAAAATAAATTTAGTAAAACTTACTTTAACTTCCGCAGTTTATCCGAGTCTTGTTTAATTGCTGATTGATCGCTATTCCGTGCCATAAAACTATTATTTGACATCATGGAAATATCGCTTGGAATTTGTTGAATGGCAGCACCGATGCCTCTCTGCAGGGCTGCTACCCAAGCGTCATACATTTCTTTCGAGTCAGTTTGCAGCATGTGTGATCTGCGATAAAGTAGAAACATTTTTATATTTTACATCAAAACTTGTCAAAATCATACCTTTTATCATTTCTTTGTAATGATAGGAAAGAAAATAGAAATAGAATAATAGAAAACGACATATAAATAAAAACCGAGCATGTACATACTTTGATGGAGACAACACTTCAAAACAAAACCGTCTTTCACCTTCTTGCACCGATTTCACCGTACACAACCGAAGATCTTCTTCCATAACGGTGTAATCTTTATCACCAGAACGTTTCCTGTAAGATATACGCTGTTAATACAAGTAAAACATTATTTTTATGATTAATATATTACCTATACTCTAATTTATTGTCATGTAATCGAAACCATCTGCGATGCCATGTTTTAAACGCGTTTGACGTGCGTTTGAATAAATATCCTTCAAGAATAGGATCATTCGAGCCAGAACCAAGTTTCGGGATTGTTTCAACGTTATTTACAATACTGTGAGAGTTGGCTACTTCTTTTTCGAGGCGTGAAGTGTCATCTCGCATATCACAAATCTAAACATATAAAATATTCAAAGAGAACTTAATGATATTTTAAATAATTATTACCTCATCAGCCAATTGTCTGTAAAATGGGTCCAAATCACTGCACAGTTCAGATCCTTGATGGTAATATGTTGTGCATGCATGCATATATGATAAAAACTATAAAAATAATTCATTTAAACAATTTATTTAAAGAAAACAAAAAATTACTTACAGAGCTTAACAATTCATGTCGTTTTTTACTTTGTAATATCCTCACAGAATTGACATAGTTTAATGATTGGTGACTGAAGCTAACTCTGGTTGCCACAAGTAAATTCTGCACTTCCTCCACTTCTATCTGTTTGCTTTTTGATGTTTGACTATTCCTCACTAATACATTGTCAAACTCAGTAGAAATTTTCTCAAAATGCTGTCTATTCTCTTTTACACCTAATATTATTAATTATTTAGTTTAATTGATTATTTATATAAGTACAATCAATTTTACCTTTAATATCATTCTTTATAAATGAAGTAATGCTCCTCAACACAGTTCTTGATGCTTGATCTAATAAAGTAGTATGAAATCTATTCATTTCCTGAAAACCATGAATAAGCCTATTCAATGATGAAAGCACTGTTGGATCCTCTTGAAAGTGATGACTTAGATCCCATAGAGAGTTGGCAAATGAACTATCAATCAATAAAGTAATTATTTACTAAGAAATTAACTAATACAATAGAAAATATGTTTTACCATTGATTTGATATGTAGGTCTTGCCACTGTCAATCATAGTTCCACATAATCTAAGAATCTTGTCGAGTTTTTGTTCCAATTGCTCAATGCTCAACTCTTGCTGCTCAAGTACTTGCCTAGAAAACATTTGTTTTAATGAAGGAATACAGTAACTTTTACTAAATCTCACCTAAATTTCGGCGAGTCGCGAATACACTCGCCGTACTCGAGCGTGTCCAACATCTTGGATGATCTAATCAAGAATAACAGCCCGAGTCACTTCTTTGTGTACTTACGCTCGCAACTGACTCATCAATTTAATTGGAAGTGTATGAACTAGATGAAAGCAATTTGTTCGTTGGCCGTTTGCGAAGAGTCGCGTTCGTGTTGCGTTCAACTGTGTGTCGTGTGTGTGACAGATGTTAACAGCCAACCGGATGATAGGTGCGCAGACGGCTTGTTGCGCAGAACGGTTTTTATCACACATATTGGTTTCCGGTAAAAAACCAAGGCCAAATAATAATTAAATTACGATCAAAAGTCGAGATTACAACACACTTCAACTAATTTGCTGGTTGTAAGTATGTTTATCTGTAAGAGCACGCGCTAAACATTACTTTTGTGTTTACAATAATAACTTACAATTTCCTCCGACAGATGTCCGAGGAATTTTGTTTTGAACTCTTGGAACAGGATGTTATGATTCATTGCACGCAAAACACATTACACATGACCAAATAATAATAATTGCTATCGTATTTTCTCCGTCATAGTTGTTTATCAGTCATAACAACTTTACTATTGACCATTACATCATCTAAATATTCTATTCTAAATATTTAAAAATGATGCGACCAAAAAGAAACCGCAACGAAAGTATGCATTACTTCATCGTCGTCCTGACAGTCTTCATGATCCTTGGAGTATTAACCCGAGTTTTTATAAGACGTAACAAACTGAACATACCCCACAATTTATTTGTCCTGGGATTCTCAATAATTGCTGGCGCGACGATTGCCTGCGTGAAGAATTTCCGCGATGCATGGTTTGACTTAAAAATGGCGCCGCAGTTTGCAGTGGGAGCATACTTACCAGTTTTCATAATGTATACCATGTATAATATGGACCACCAACTGTTCAAGAGATACATATTACAATCAGTCATCGTGACATTGAGCACTGCATTGATTACACCGATTGTAATCAGTGCAAGTTTCATTTTCGTCCTTTACCCGGAATGGTCCTACACGCATGGACTTATGATCAGTATGATAATCCTACCGCTAGAACCCCGCCATGTTGTGGAACTATTCCAAGTCCTGTCCAATCATAAATTCCTCGCCACCATGCTACAGATTGAATCGGTGTTAATTCAGGTATTTACTCCTCTTGGTAATAATTTAGTTGGGAATTACCGTTCGGGATTAGTGGATAAATGGTACCAATTCTTTGCAATCATCGCGAGGGAAATTATTGGTGGTTTTATTATTGGATTGTTAATAGCGTTAGTCCACATGCGATTAATATTATTCGTGTATCAAGAACCCTTGAACGCTGTCAGTATTTCATTAATCATGGTTTACATCACTTATTTTGTAAGCACACATCTGGCTTTTGTCAATGGCAGTTTTGCATTGATCTGTATGTGTTCCTATATTATTATGAACAAACACAAATTACCTGTGGAAGTAGATAATAGTCTACAAGTATTCTGGAATACTTTATTCAATCTGGTTGAGACCCCGATGTTGATGTTCGCCATGACTGAAGTGACGCTATACGCCGTTTTGTTGTTTGAGTATGCAACCATGTACGGCGCTATTTTCTTATACGTTGTTGGAGTCCTAGATAGATTACGGGCGTGTATTATGCTTACGCCAATATTGAATCGCATGTCTTACAATGTGAACGCCAAGTGTTTGTTTGTGTTGGGATGGAGTGGTATTAAAGGAGCGTCGAATTTGTATTATCTTTTGACTTTGGTTGGGTTTCAACATTTGACCGAAAGCATGCAGTCCTTTTTATTAGGATCTATGGGTTATGTGGTCTTGAGTAATCTTATCAACTGTAGCACAATGAGAGTATTGTTGAAGATGAGTGGATTGTATAATATTACAATGACAAGATTAGCTAATATGTATAATTACATGAGGTACCTGCGACAGAGGCAAATGTGTATGATGGAAGTCCTCAAAGCGAATCGATATTTATCCAATACCAACTGGGCTTTGGTCAGGAAGGAATCGTTTGTTTACCAGGTTTATCTGGATCGTGCATCGACTTATCATAAAGCAATGTTGTATAATGAGGAACACAACTATCAGTTTAATGATCGTCTACTGACGTGCCCGGATTGTCATAAAGAGTTTCGGAATGAACTTTCTGATAAAGAAAAAGAAGACATGTTGAAGTAAATTTACCATTCATAACAAAGTAGTATATTTATTACAGTTTTTGTTAATTTGTTTCAGGAAAACTCTTCTACAAATCTTTAAAAGTCAAAAAGTGGCTATAATCAAACAATATGAAAGTGGCGTAATGAATAAAAATGTCCTCCAGATATTGGCACATCATCTGGACACAAAAATCGAGTCAAACAATCGTCGTAAAGATGCAACCATTAATTTAGACCAATTCAATCCAAAAGGAGTAAGTATTTTACAAAAATTTAAGAAAAAGAAAGAAAAAACACAAGTTTTATTTTGTGTTTTATGTCTTAATGCTTTATTTTTTGTTTTTCAGAGGAGTTTAAATATTATCATCAAAATACTTACATTTATATCCCGTCATCAAACATACAAAGTCCCTACCAACCATTTCAGACGCCTGGTTTACTTCCTAGTGCTTCATTACATGTACGAGATTGTATTGTTCGTGATCATAATTGGTAATGCAATATTCAGTTTATGGAACGCTGATAAATGTTGCCAGAGCAATATGTATTGGTACCATTTTGCTATAACGTTCATTTTTGCTGCGGATTATGCGATGAAGGTCACCGCGGTGGGAATATACGTTACATTTAGTGAATATTGGACAATAATCGACAAAATCCTCTTGTTTCTGGACTACATTAATCTGTTCATAACACGTCAATCAAATGTATTCAATTGGTTCATTTATTACATCCCAAGTTTCCGGTTAATATCCGCATTAAGATTGATTACTGGTTTTCGTCTGCTTGGAACCTATTCTCCCCGAATTATTACATATATTGATTATGTTGTTGATAGTAATATAGCGTTGAGGTTTGATCTTGCTTCTGCTTGGTTAAGCAGTATTGAGGAAGTTTTAAGTGGTCTGCCACAAATTGCTCCTGAGAAATTCGCTAGGGTGTATTATGAAAACAATCTCAATGAGGAGAGGAAGCGTTTGCTTGATGAAATGGCCGCTGTGCAGAAGACACGACCATGGATAGCTGTAACTGTCAAAACGAAACAAGCAATTTGTACGACTTTGTTTGCAATGGATATGAATCTAAAAGAAATGCAGAGAGCAGGATACACAGATGCTATTGAAAGCGCCGCCATTTTAAAACTGCTACGCGAACCACAACAGTTTCTCATGAATATGAAATTCGTCAAACCAAACGCAATCAGATCAATATTCAAGGATGTACCTTGGATGCCAAACGATAATGCTGAAGTCATGGAATACCTCTATGAAAACACCGAGGAAGTAAGCAAAGACGCAAAAGAAACAATCATGCAAATCGATACGTTAGCCGAAGGTGTGTACGTGGTGGTTACTGGCATGTTAGTCCTAACATTTCAATCGCTAACCAGAGCATCACGTTATGAAGGATATCTACCAGTTGTAGATTACTTAGCCACTACTGATTACAACAGCGTTTATAATAAAGTAGTTGTATCAGGAAGCACTGTAGGAGAAGTAGGTGTGCTTACTGGTCGTCGATACGACTGCACAATTTACGCAGGTACACCAAGTGAAGGTTACTGGTTACCAGCACAAGTAATCCGTACTGCAATGTTCATGTGCAGTAATCCTGTGACAGGAATGGAGGCGATGATGTGGCGCCATTGTAGTGAGAACCTCGCCATTGCTGTAATCATGCAATCATCACAATATAGATCATCTACAAGAGAAGAAATCAAAAACAAGTTGAAAAACGCTTTCATGCCTATCCTGCGAGCGTACATGACATTTATACGCATAGATTACTTAATAGACAATATAATTTTGATAAATGGCTGTGTGATGGATACAGATACGGGGGAAGTGTACATCGCTCCGTATTTAATACCGAAAATAGTTGAAACAATGACACTTATGCATAATCCCGAGTTGAATATCGAGGTACATTTGATGGTGATTCCCTGTGAGGGTGTAACTGCAGTTGAGGTTATGACTGAAGAAGAGGAAGCGGCTGATTTGCTACCCCAACGCAACAGTCGTGAAGTGCTAAGGACGAAACACGAGCGCAAGAAAACAAAATTACACGCGACAGCATCCACAATATAAATTGACATCATGGAATCGCCATTTATTTACAAGCGCAATCATTACTTCCGTCATATCCAGACTCCGCGCGAATGGAAAGGAATATAATATATAAACATGTCTTATCTCTACGCACGCTTTACTTACAAATATTTAATGACTTAATCATACCTTGAAGACACTGCGACAATAAAATCAAGTGTTGTTTGTTTGTACAGCATAATATTGACTATTATATTAATTATTTAATTGTTAAAACGTAGTCTTTAGAAGAAACGCGACACACATGATTATAAAGTAAGAATTTAAACAGTTACCAACCACCAGACGTGAAAATGATCCCCCAAAAAAATTTTGTTACGATTGTTTCGTTTTGTTCACAATTTGTGTATGCTTGAATTGTTTGCGAAAGAGAAATTAATTTAAAACCAACAAACATGTTTGTGTTGTTGTGTTGTTTGCGCAGTGGTTGAGCTTATAGCTCATCCTTATCAAGGAGTGTATAGCGGTTCTTGGAGGGCGCGAGTTTCTTGAATGTGCTGTCTGGTGGATTCGTCGGGTTGTCATCCGACGAGTCTGAATCGGGCCCGTAGTGGAATTCGCGATGCAACTTACCAGAGTACAAATCTTGAATGAATTGTTTTACTTTACCGGGCACATCGATGTCCTTGAAGGATGGGAATAGATACATATGGCGGAAACTGTCGATCGCAATCAGGGGCAGGTCGCTTTCGCTTTTGCCGAGGTGGTGTAGTGGATGCGCGAATTTTTTACCATCAGCAGTTAAGAAATTGATATTTTCTGTAATTTTACACATTAAATTATTAAAATTTTATGGTTTTATGAGCAAAAACTTACGTTTTTCGGATATTAAGTCACGTTGAACAATATCGTTATACTTGCGGATGCTTTCCGTATCATCAGGATGATGGAATAAGATGAGGAAGGGCAGACCTTCTTCGGTGAGTTCCTCGGCGTTCTCAAAAGTGATCTCTCTCACCAGTGGCACGCATTTACTCGCGATCCACACGTGCATCTCATCGAAATTGTTCATATTACCCGTGTAAGTCTCATCATGTTCATTGGATCGTTCTTTATCGGGTCTAAACACAACAATTGGTTGACCTGGCGGATGCATCGACTGGGAAACAGCCCCAAACCCAACGTGGAACGAACAATCATCTTTCAAATTCGTTGCTACTCGCCTAAACATGTTATATTCTGTTTGATCTCTCCTATCAAAATAGCCTGCAAGATGATTATTAGTTTTTTATGTATTTATTTGAATTTTTAGCAAATATATACCAATAATAAGCCTTTTGTTTGACTCTAATTCAGTCAACTCATTCAGTGAATGGAATTCTTTGATGGGATCTTCCAATTGTTGTTTGATGAAGGTGGAGAAGGCTTCCACAGACCGCTGACCGCGATACTCCCGCTTCGCTGGCTGCCCATTCCTGATAACTTTCAATGTAGGATACTTAGTTATATGAAATCTGGTGGCAATTGATGTCTCCTTATCACAATCAACCTTAGCCATCACAACCCTGCCGGCGTCCGGAAACTCTTTGGTAACGTTCTCGGCCGCTTCATCAAAGATTGGCATTAATAAATTACTAAATCTACACCAGTCTGCATAGAAGTTAATGAAGACTAGCTCGTTGGACGCAAGCGTCATGTCGATCGACTGCTGCGTTAACGACACCGCACCGCTGTTCGTCGGATTGTACAATACATGAGATACCTGTAAAAATATAATTGATTATGTATTTACATTTAGTTAAATGAGCTATGACTGTTTTTATCATCGTTCGCTTAAAGTACTTGTGATAAGCTTAATTACGTGAATGCGTACAAATTACTTACTAGAAATGCGCCTAGAAATGTGAACCTCACATTGCATAGGTACTTGAAACGCTCCATCGTGGGCACCAAACGTGGATTTTGTGGTTGTGGCACTCTATTGTTGATCGACGCCGATGTCTCGTTGAACTGGCGGTTGCACGCAGGTTGTTGTTAATTATCACCGGGTGTAGCACCGCCTACGTTACTTGCTTGTTTATATTGGATAAGACCTGCGGAGAGTGGCAGTAAAATGCCGAAGCAGACCTGCTGCCGCTGCCGTTGAAGCACGACCTGACAACTTGACAAGTTTGTCGAGTTTGACACTTCACCGTCATCGCACTTCACTTTACGCCGCCAGTGTACATTGGCATGTGTGCTTTGCGCATGCGCGAATGCTAGGTTTTAATGCTGTCAATACTTTTTGAATCTGGCCTTGAGACCGGCGCGGCCGGCTAATTTCCTTTTTCTGCTTTTTAATTGATAGAATGAGGCATGTAATACGTTTATTCATATATGTATAATCGTATAAACAGAGCACCATTCAATACTAATTTGGTTCTCAAGTAGGTTTAAAAATGTTTGATATACATTCTTTTACTTTGCAATATTATTACTGAACTGTTATATTTTCATCAATTTAATTCACTTGCAACACTAATGTAAGAGAATTTTCGTGCCCCAAAGGTCAGGCTCAGGAATGTTTCTTATTTCACTATTTACCTGATAGAACCAATTTATTAAAATAGCTGGTTGAAGGCGTGCCGATGAGAATTACTGCAAACGGGGGGTGTCTACAAATATTATTGAAGAAAAGGGGATGTTTTGGTAACAGATGCGTGTTTTACTACTATTTGCATGCCCTAAACTTTCGGAAAATGTCCTGAAACGTCCCTGAGTGTCAATACCAGCTGTTTCAAAGTTTTAACACTTGTACTGGGAGATTGCTCTATAATTCCTGTACCTATAAAGAATTTAGAGATTATTGGGTGTTATTTAATAGTAAACCAGTTTATTTAATATATAGCTACTATTTCCATGACTTGGACCATTAATTAATGCCCTAAAACACACGTCAAATTCCGCTTTTTGGCCAGCGGTTTGTTAAGGTATAGAAAACACCATGTAACTTTTGTGCCAATTGAATAATTTGCAATTACTTAGTATCTTGTGATCGAGGAAAAGACGATATATATTATTACTATTTTTACCCTGGCCTAAACACTCAGAAACTATACTAAAACACTTGTCAAAACAAAAATATTTCTCTATTTTTAAAAACTTGGCATGAAAAACACTCTGTACCTGCCATTAAAATAACGTAATTAGATATTACTCTGTGTAATATGGTAGCTGAAGAGATCCTTTAAGATGTATATACTGTTTCCTAATTTTAATCCTTCGGGAAATGTCCTAAATTCTCTATCAAACAACGCAATTTTTACAATTTTTTAAAACTTGGCGTGGAAAACACTCTGTAACTTCTATAATAATAACGTCATTTGGAATTCCTCAGTGTTATATGGAAGTTGAGGAGATCTTCTAGAGCGTACGCATAATTTTCTTCCTCTAATTCTTCAGGAAATGCCTTAAATTCCTAGTAAAACCGTGCATTTTTTACCATTTTTACAAACTTGGCGTGGAAAACACCCTGTAACTTCTGTACTAATAACGGTAATTTTAATTTCTCAATGTTATATGGTAGTTGAGGAGATCTTCTAAAAGATACGCACGATTTTCTTGCTCTCATTCTTCAGAAAATGCCTTAAATTCCCGGTAAAGCAGAATAATTTATACAAATTTTACAAATTTGGTGTTGAAAACACTCTGTAATTAACGTACCGATAACGCAATTTGGTATTTTTTAGCATCATTTGATAGATAAGAAATCCCTTTACAATATGCGCACCCTTTTGATCAACCAAACCTTCTGGAAGTGGCCTAAACTGCAATTATAATGATAAATTGACTCCAAGTTTTTGTCGAAAAACATAGTCGAAAGTATTTTTATAATATTTTTGATTGAAATAAACAACAAATTTTTTTTTGTTAAAATTATTTTGTGTCGAAAGACAGGGTCGAACTTTTAAAAAAAATTATTTTGTGTCGAAAGACAGGGCCGAACTTTTTCATAAAATTATTTTGTGTTGAAAGACAGGGTCGAACTTTTTTGTAAAATTTTTTGGGCCAAAAACAAATTTTTATTAAAAATAATTTTTGATCAAAACGCCGTAGAAAAGATTTTGTCATAAAAAAGTCAAATCTTTTCAAATACTTTTGTTCAAAATTAAAAGTTAAAATTGGCGGAGGCGCCTGACATTTTAATTTAGGGCTGTAAAAATTATTTAAAACTAATTATACCATTATGTTGAAAGTCTTTTAAGTACCTAATATATACAATTTTAAACTTAATTGTAGTTACTCTGTTTGCAGCTAAAAGAAACGTCAACTTCCAGCGATCCTTAATTTCCTATTATCTCAGAATCTAATAAAGATAAACAAAAACTGAATAAAGCGTAGTATTCAAAATAAAATTCTACATAAGATAAGATTTTAAAATTTATATTTTAAAAACATGGAAAAGTGATTTTCCGACGCGATTTCCTCGGAAACTATAAACGATAAAGAAAAACTTTTTGCATTTTCTTCATGCCATAACAAGAATCTAAAAGATGGCAGATTTAGCTTTTGATTCTAAGAAGTTGACAAAAACTCCTCAAAAAGAGTCAAGTGGTTACACTTGACTACTTTTTGGCCAAAAAAATTAATGTTGAGCTAGGAGAAAATGGAAAACGCCAATCGATAGAGTTTTCCATGGGGATGAAAGATATCGAGTCAGTTTTTTAATAACTCCAATATTTCCCAAATACATGGTGAAAATCAAAACCGATCAAATTGAACCACAATTCGGATTTTCCTGAAACTTTCCATTCTGGTGTAGAATGATGCAAGGAGCCCATTAATGCAACTTTTGTTGCGATAGCGTAATTAGTTTTTGAGTTATTGACCATTTTCAATAATTACGTAATTATGAAAATCTTAATTTTTTAAAGTGAAACATAATGTGAAAATTTATCCTGAATACGTACCTGAAATCCGTTTTTCCTTATCACTGGTTGTTTAGAAGATAATTGCAATAAACTGGATTATTCAGTTTTAAAGATTTCCATATGACAAAACATTTTACTAAGATTGTAAATAGGGCCTAGACGGCCCATGTTATAAAAAAGTGCTTCTAAAATAATCGATGTAAAATTAAATTAACTATCAGAATCCAAAAACAGAATTTCAAAATTCCAACTTTTAATTTTGAACATAAAAAAGAGAAATCTTTTGCCTTTTTTATAACGAAATCTTTTTCACGGCGTTTCGATAAAAAATTATTTTAGATTAAAATTGGATTTTGTGTTTCGATACAAAAAAATTTTAACGAAAAAGTTCGGCCCTGTCTTTCAGCACAAAATAATTTTATGAAAAAGTTCGACCCTGTCTTTCGACCAAAAATAATTTTAACAAAAAAAGTTCGACCCTGTCTTTCGACACAAAAATTTTTTTAACGAAAAGTTCGGCCCTGACTTTCGACCAAAAATAATTTTAACGTAAAAGTTCGGCCCTGTGTTTCAGCACAAAATTTAAAAAAAAAATGATAAAAATCCATTTTAACCATCATTTTAAGCATTCGCAAGGGATTAAAAAATCATAAAAATGCGCACGTTGTAAAGGATACCTGAAATTACCACAAAACAATAAAAACTCACAAATTGTGCTTAGCATAAATTTATTCCATTAACAATATACAATAATAACCGCATTAAATATATACATTTACAAGCGAAAGTTATAGATATCTTGTTTTATCCGTTCTTATTTAAATATCAATAAATATACAACCATATTTCTCATTTTTTCATACATACTGAGAGACTTTTACACAAATTTCAACTATATATCTACACATCATCCAGTAGAAGTTATACACGAACAAAGATCAATCAACTACGATGCTTTCGTCAGCCCTGCATTCTATCTAAATCGGCACAAAACAATAAATACGAAATCAATAACTTCCCGTGCTCGCATCCGGTTTTGGTAGATGATGATGACACAATCATAAAACTATCGTTGGAAACCCGTAATGTAAATCATAACAAAATTGTAAAAGCTATTCTCATATAAGTAGTTAATACCGTAATTAATACATTTACACACATATTATAATACAGTGCCAGTGCATATTAAGTGTTTTCATTTGTTTTTAAATCTTATTTGTACGTGTGCTTCCAGATCTCCACCTCCTCCGCCTCCTGCTCGTCTTATTTCGACATCCTTAATTCTTATTATTCTCAATTCAGCGTTAAACTTACTTATTAGTTTAGGGACTAGAATGATACACTAAAATGGTTTGAAGCAGTGGCGTGTGTTTGTCTATATCTCATGAGATGAATGGAATAAAATGATTAGAATTTGAGCCGCGCTCGTTATGGCGTGTGTTTTCCTTCGCATGGCAAATGGCGTTCCTTGTCGCTCTACACGTACTCGTACAGTTTCTTTTTTCCTAAACGTCACAATATAAAACTCTTCGCTAAGTTCAGCAGGCGAACGGAAATCCAAGCGTGACTACAACACGTATTACATGGGTTCATTTCTGCTTCAGCTAGAAGTGATTCGTTTATTACGTACTAGTTTATTTGGTGATGATCAGAATGCGCAATATGCTGATGAGTTTCGATGAGAATTATATATTCACTTGTGTGGTTTGGGCAAGGAACATTTATCTTGTTGCGTATTTCATACATAATTAGATTGCACGATTATGTTACGTATGCTTTTTTGTTTGGTTTTCTTTATTATAATTCTGTTCGTAGTCGTTAATACTTGAGTTATAGTTTGTTTCATATTTGAATTTCACGCGAGTGGCGCAACTGTCAACTGTCAATTATTTAACGGTTTTTAACGAACTTTTGAAAATCAGTTATCATTCGAACTCATCTTGACTACCAAACATACTGAAGTCAGGTCAGTTACGCAATATTCCTTAGCTCCTATTAATAGATAATTACGAGTATCAGTCGAGTAAAGCTAGAACGCGATGATTTTTCATTTTGTTGTGTTCAGCATCAGCTTGTTGTTGGTTGACTAGATTTACGCTTTCAAGAGCTGATTAGTTATATTTGTTTCTATATTAATTCCGGTGTGTGCGACCATTGCAAACATCCACGCATTTCGCCATCATTTTCGTCAATATTCCCCTCAACCAGACCAGAGTAGTCGAAATAAGTATATATGTGAATCGAATAGAAGGTTTTTTTTCGAATAACGCCTTGTTTTGTTCTGCTGCTAAGTAGATATGTTGCTTCGTCTTACAATTTCTCATCCAATAATGTCACTACTAAATGTACGCGATATTAATTATTGTTTCCTGCATCATATACAATAATATATACTTTGAAGCGTCGATTATATAGTCTCAACTCAAGTACGGTAATCGTAACGCAAAAATATCTCGTTCAGTCTTACAATGAACAACAATATTACATAGTATAAGCTATAGTGCGCTTAGTTGTTTTTGTTTGGTTTAATACTTAGCTCGTCTGTTTTAATCTGGATTGATACAGCGCCCTCTGCGCAGCACTTAAGCGTACGACTCGCTAAAGTGTTCGAAGATGTAATCGAACTGGCGGTTCAGGTTGCCGGTGGCGACGACGTCGTCCTCCGGCAGCTGAGGCATGCTGCTGTGGAATGGCGGAATATGATGTGGCGACGCGCACCAGTCGCTGTTGCCGTTCAGCGCGTTCATGCGATACTGCTTGCTGAACGACAGCAGAATGCTGCGGATCTTTGCAATGATCTCCTCTACTCAGGCATTCGACTCCTGCAACAAGCGAAAGCGGCGGTTGGTTTACGTTCGGATGGACTCGTGCTTACGGCGGACGGCTACTTTAAGATTCTCGAAGTAGTGCATGATCTGCTCGTAGTCCATGTCGAGCTGCAGGCCGTCCAAGCCGGCTAGATCAGCGCCTGTTTCGCCCTCCTCGGTGGGCTGCTCTTCCCCGCCGGTTTCCGAACTGAACATTGGATTACCGACGATTGTAGCGCGCTTTACTTCAGCGCTATTGCGATCTAAACACACAAAATATTGTAATAATTCATATCAAAATGGCGTTGGGTGGGAAATTGCATTACTTCCGTTTCGACTCGGTGACTTCGGATACTGCACAAACTCCATACTATCATCGCTAGCAGGCGTTTTATTGCGCATTACCACCACTGGAGAAGATGGCGGACCTGCTAGAGCCGCGGGCGACGCATCATCGTCAAAAACAAACGCGGCTGGAATGTCCCCGAACTCAGCCTCCTCGATGAGATCCTCATGCGAGTTGTTCAACCTCCCGCTGATGTCACCCGGCTTGCCATGCTTGCTGTTCCGGTGGTGGTGGTGATGGTGATGCTTCCGCGGCGACGGATCCATGAGATTGCGATGAGGTGGAACGGGCGGTTTGTACTCCTCGATATCCACCGACAATTGCATGCCATGAGGAGGCAATGGTGGCGGAGGAGTTGGTTTATTCCTACATTCAACGAATTCATCATAAATCAACATAAATCATCACGACCGAATAACTAAACATACCATATGTCTTGCTCTTGTAAACCGGATATATCAATGCTTACGCTTGTTGTCCGCCCACCAGCCTTGCTCTTGCAATATGTAGAACTGTCAATTGGAGGACGTTGTTGCTGCGGGGGTGGTGGCTGCTGGGAGTCGGGTGCGAAGCTGGTCTGCACGCAGTCGTCCGGATCGCAATAGTTCATGTTGAGCGGATTGGCGGTGATGCGTATCTCGTTCGTGTTGTTATTCACCACAGCCGAATTGCGATTCGATGCCGGTTCGAGCGTGGCGCGACCTGAATGCGAACGGATTTTAATAACGGACTCGGAATTTAAATACCAGAAAAGCAAGACGAAGAAGAACGATGGCTGCAAAATGCGAAACTAACTCAAACATACTTTCTCTCATACCTAGCCAGACCCAGTCGTGTGCGTTCGTGGTAGTTTCACGAGGCTTGCGATTTATTCCACCCGCTGATGGGGCAACGGGGACGGCGTGTAGTCCTTCAGCTGCTACCTCCGGCTTGAATTTCGATGCGTACACAACGCATGAGATCACAAACACCTACACAAACATACAAATCTTAACCTCACTTCTAAACTAGTAATAATAAAATATACGTACGGCGATAGCGAAGCAAAATGCGCCCAGTAAAACATACATGCTAATCTCCAATGGTGAGATTATCATGGTGGGTTGATGACGGGACGAACCCTTCGTACCTTGGTATTGCCTCGCTTGAACATTCGGTTCAATACGATCGTCATCTACCGGAGAAGAAATATATTACACCGGGTTGTAAAATTTGCGGTTATGTTAACATACCTTTAAGGATATCCGAAAGATCAGGGAAGTCTCTGCCTTTGGAGCCGGTGAAAGTACCTCCGTCGTTTTGCAACAGATCCGGTCGGTGAGACAGGTCGTTGCTGCTAAAATCGACGACCACGGACGCAGCTGCGGTGGCGAGCGGACCGGCCTTGGATTTACTGCGCACAGCCGCTCGACATTCTTCCGGCAACAACAGTGTCACTTGCAGTAAATCACCGTTACCCTCACCGACGGCAATAACTCGTGGATGACGAGATGCCACCATGGGCGCAAATGCAACCACCTCGGGATCTAAACTTTCCACCACAAGATGGTAGTCGGAATCGGCCACATCACGCAGCGGTGTTTTGCTACCATCAGAGAATTCCAACTCGATGTCTAACAGACCTTCCTAATGGACGTACACAAAAACGAAAAAAAGATACAACTGGGATTTATTTTATTTAAGAAGATTTGCACTTACCTGGTATTGGGCAGTTAGCTTCCGAGTCACGCTCGTCTCGGCAATGTAGCCGTTCTCAATCGCGCCGTCCGGCGAGATGTTCAACTGGAGGCCGGAAACGACCTGCACGGAGAGTCGGGATAATCCCACTTTGTCGTTGCCCACGCGTACTTCCTTCGCCCCGATGACGCGATTCGTAATCGGAGACAGCACCTTTAAACACCAAACATCAAAAATTAAAAACGGCTAAAAATATCAACAAACAAAGCCATACTTGGACTTCTGTGCGTCCCACACTTCGTCCCTGTAGAACTCTGCCATGCAGACTGGCAATGTGCACATCAGAGACGCGTAGCGATTGCAGCACCAAATCGGTGACTCTGAGATACGTGCGACGATTGATGAGGAACGTAGTGCGACCCGAGTCGTGATCGTTGGCGTTGAAACGCGCGTAGACATCCACGGACGTCTGCTGATAGCGCAATCGGCAGTTGGGGCGTTCGATCACGTTGCCGAGATCGTCCAGACTGCGATACGCCGAACCATACGATCGCTTCTTTCGTCGTCGGCTCGCTTTCGCATTACTGGAGGCGAAAGACAAGGCGGTGAGTGAAAATGTACAAAGTTGAAATTGTTTGCGACATTGCGACATACCTCGGTTGATAGTCCGGAACGCGCCATGACTTCAGCTGCGAGAGTCGCGTATCCGGAACTTGCAGGTCCAGCGGGAATTCCGGCATCCAGACGGTGAACTTGGCGAGACCGGTGTATGTGCCATACTTGACAAGCACCGAACCGTTGACGGAGCCGCGCGCCTCGCTACCATCAACGTACACCGAACTACACGACGAACTCACTTTCAGCACGCTGTCGTCCTCTGAATGGCACGAAGCTTGGAATGTCACGTCCGCCTCTTTGCCCGCCTGCGAGACGATGAATACCTTCATCGCCTGCGAGACTTGCCGGCCCGTCAACACCGCCGTGTTCAACACCTCCCAATTCTGCACGCAAACAAAACAAAGAGAATTCAAATGAGGTTATGTCATAAACAGTCACAACCTTCCACAGTATACACTTACTTTACTAATAGGTACGACAGCTTGAATATCATCCTTCTGAATATCCCATTTCGTGGTGGTTTTTGTTCCGCCCTGTCGATGCTCGACATTTGCGCCATTGTGCTGACTAGCCGGCTCCTCCGAGTGCGGCTCGTAGCGGGCGGACCACACAATCCGCGCTTCTTCCTCCGGCTCCTCGCTGATCTCCACCAGCCACGTAAACAGCTCCAACACGCTGTGAAACAAAAGAATGTGAGAACGCGCGCGGAACGCAAACATAAAGAAGGCTCTCGCATGGACAGCGTAATCTCTGCACGGATCGCCTAGCATAAAGGATGCGAGAATCCCGAGCAATTCATGGATGCAGTCGAGGTTTCTGGTTAGTTTCCTATCCGGACCCCAACACTATATGTACATGTATATATAACCAGAAACAAGTTGCAGCAAGTATAAGCGCGCAAGTTGCGGCTTTAATTCCGAATGGGAAATCCATTAAAGTATAGTTTAATAACGTCTCGAGGGGGCGGCAGCGAGTCGGTTTTCAATCGATAGCGCTTCCTCCCGCAGTTATAGTTCGTCCGGGGTTGACGCGCACACAATGGACATGATTTACTTTGCGCTATAAGAGCATTAGCGAAATGAAAATGATTAAAAACTTAACTGGTTTTCCATCATCTAAATTTCATTACTCTTATAAATCTAATTTTTTTAAACCAACCCTGACATTTATACGAAAAGTTCGACGTTTATAATTCAAACGTCGTTCAATATTTAACTTGTGATTTCTTGCGAGAACGCACAAACTAAAAAAAGAATCTAATTAAATTATAATCCGACGCTTTCGCATCGTTGTCATCGCGCGGGCGAACACTTCGACAGTTGGAAACCCTCGTTCGCGTTTCTTAATTGACGTCCGAAATGCGCCGCAGCGATTGCACAATCTACGCCCGCGCAATAACCTCAAAAGCTTCACGCGCTTAAACTTTCCTGCTAACACGAAGAATCCATCGTGCATTATCACTCGCATTAGTTTACGAGTTTGCAGTTGTGTTCACACAAGCATAACCTCAATTCAACGACTACTAGCAAGAAGATGGGTGGCGTGCTAGAATGTAGATTATGGCTTAGGGAGGTTTTCGGGTGTGTGAGTGCTAAAGCTAGTTAGATTTGTTAAAGTTTTCGAGCGTGCGCCCCGAACAGCTTGAATTTGTGTGTTTCCGTTCGCGAGCAAAGGATATAAATTACGCGCGATCTTAATAACTTACTCGCCGCCTCCGCTGGTTGCCGCGCTGCCGCTGGATGCCGTTGCGTCGGAGGGCGTCTGCTGGTCGGGCGAGTCTCTACGCACTGCGGTAACCGTTGCCCCCGTGTGCCGGGGGTTCGTCTCCACCGTGATGTTCCACGCACTCGGATCCGTCGCCACTGCGCTCAATAAACGCACTCCGCTTTTTACTCGTCCTCTGAAACACATAGAAAATACATATTAACATTGGCAACCCAATATACATATCCGCATGTCATATTATAGGTTATTTTAAAGTCGGCTTTGTATCATTATGCAAATTTCGTATTTATTTGAACAGAACGGATTATTAAATACGTCGAGAGCGAAAAAGTTTTATTTTTGTTTGCGTTTGTTTTCAGTGCGCTGAACTTTCCCGTGTGCCCGCGCCGGGAAAATATTTTCCGCATGGATTATAATGCGGACTTTGAGAGCCGGAATCCTCTCTCCGGAGGCAGCGAAATATATTTTTGCAACACGCTGGCAGCAGCCGCTGTGCCTTTAACAGCGTTCAATATTAAGATTAGCCATGAATAAATAAAATCCGCTTCAACTTGCGCATATTTTGCGTTAGTTTTCCACATTCAAACATTGCATACTATTGTTAAACTTAATTCAATCCTGAGAATTTATTTGTTGTAAATTGATGGCGCGTTGTGTGCGAGCAGGCGTTGAGTAATTGGTTGCCTAACGCAAATGACAGATGAAAAATACGCGAAGACACATTCGAAGACAGTTGCGGGTTCATTCGGTCGGTTGTACTGCGATCAATCATGTGTTTGTTGTTGAACAGACCGAAGAACGTAAAACGAACACGAGCATTATCTTTCATTCAATTGTCGCGCGGCGGCAATCAATAAAACCAAGCAATCGTATCAATTACGCGCGACAACAAATCGCGCCAACGAATGATCGCATTACAAACATCTTATTGCTTATTTATTCGTTTTATAGTTAATAAACAATCATTGACAATGTGTGTTATGCGATATTCGCAAAAGCCTAGCATTGATTGACGCTTTAAACCGGCTGTCGTTGGATATTAACGGCGAAACAAAAGCTGGAATATTCGTGGCTTGATTTACAGTCGAACACATCGAGTGTGAGGTTTAAGTGCAGCGGGCGATAATTGTCCTCCCGATGCTCGAATCCGCCATAACCCACTTCTGTCACTTATTTCATGTAATGGGAGTCCCCGACGCAATGCAGTTTATTTACACCGCGCGCGCCGTCGGATCTTTATGGGCTATTAAAAATAGGCTGCTCGTTCACACAGTGAAATAAGAAACAAAAAGGCGGAATGGAAATATGCGCATACAAATATCAAAGCGTACACGCCGAAATATCAACACTTGAGTTGATTGGACGCAAAATGAATACAAATTAATAAAATGCGCGCCGTCACCAGATGTTTGCCGGCTGCAATGTGCATCGAGAGTGAGTCAACATGCGCATTAATTTTTCAATTTATATTCGCTCGCAGTGTGTAAACGCTGAGCGCGCGTAAAAATGTTTAATGCGAACTTTAATTGGCGCGCCCGCCTGTGATGTAAGATGAGGTTTAATTTTCTTTTGCGCGAGGTTATGGCACACCGAGTGTATGTGTGTATGCATGTAGTAAATTTATGAATGTCGTACGGAATGCGGTCAGCGCCGGAAATAAGTAAATTGTGCAGCTATTTCTGACGTTTCGCGTATTCTCGCAACCGCTAAGTGCATCCATCTCGCTTATGCAACCAAGTATACACCGTACCAAATTGGTTTTCTGCACGCTTGGTGGTGATATTCAGCTAAGGAAGTTGGCCGGCGCGGAGGAGGGCGGTGGTTTAATCCCGACGCCAGTCTGAATAAAACACTCGACTCCCATTCCCATCTCTCGAGAGTCTGGGACTAACAGTCAAGTCTATTTCGCATTATCGGCTCGACTGAACTAATCACTGCCTTCGCCGTTTCGGTCGTTTCCGAGTGGAGGTTATGCGGAGAGTGGATGGCGAAGCACATCGACAGTTCGGGAAATTCGTTCCCCCACCCCCCTCTTGAACGACGTTCATTTGTTACGTTTGTTACCGAGGCGTTTTCGCCTGCCATCCGGCGAAAAATGTGTATGTATGTGTGAGTGGGTAGTTTCACCGCTGGAAAACTATCGGGGTTTGTCTGCGCGAAATAAATAAACGATCCCTATACGAGTGGAAGTAATCGAGTGCCCTATTTAGAAATAAATAACCTATCGGAGACGCAGTCGCGAGGCGAAATCGGCGAATGCGAAGCAAAAAAAAAATCGAAGCAAACTTAAGCGACGACGACTCTTGGTTATTCTCGAGTTTCGCGTTGATGGCGGAGCATAACAGGAAATTGCTTTTAATCCGAGCGACGAGGATACTCATACCTACGATCTTCGTTACACCCGCTTGAAAAAAATGTGAAACATTTACTTCGACAACGGAATTCGCGAAAAAAAAAGAAAAACAACTTGCGGTATTCCAACATTGTACAACTCGAATTTAACTCAAAACAAGGCTATAAAGATATCGCGCGAAACAATTTTGAGGTTAGGTTGTTAGTCATTACCACCTATCTCAACATATACGAGTACTTTTAGAATATAAGGAAGAAAAAAACACAAGAAGAAGAAGAAAAGTTAGTGTGCCAGCTTGTGACGATATTTCGTGGGCGAAGAAAAGCGGAGGTGTAAATATAAAGTTAAAGTTTCCGTCGAATAAAAAATGTACCACCCCCTAACTTTTACGAATTGTGCGCTGTGTTAGAGTGGGGAGTAATTTCCCTAAGTCGCCGACTCAAGATGCAAAGATGGAAGATTGTTGGCGCTACAACACTACTCGAAAAAAGGGAAAAACTTGGTGTACACCGCGATGAAAATGTATAATTTGCATTTTGCGTGTGCTCGACTTAATTTTAATCGATACCAGCCTTGCATGCGGGCGAAATTTTCTTGTAAATTTATACCCCTACCTCGATCACCCACGCTCGCGCGTTTTTTTTATGTCTTCCGCGTTTTATTTTATTTCGTATTTCATGCTTTATTCCAATTGTTTTCGAGTTTTCCGTAGTGCACGACGTTATCGACGTGGAAAAATTTAATAGTCCGAGAAATTCGAAACGAGTTCCACCGTCCCGCTTTAAGCTTTATTTACCGCCACCATATATTGCGAATGGCGACCGGGAACGATGTTGAACACATGTGCTCTGCCGGTGCCATATTTCTTACTTTGTGCGCAAAATCGGCGTGTGAAAAATTCAGGCGTGTCATGTTTTCGGAACGCTTAACGACCTCAACAACACTCTGTATGTAATGTTATTCTAGTGGCCTACTAAGCACTTAGGAAAAAGTGAGGTTAGTAGAAAATTAAATTGTGAAAATAACATTACCGAACAATGACGGCCGTGACGCTCTTGGCCTTCTCCACTTCAACGAACACAGGGATGTGCATCCTCGATAGCGGAAACAGAGGCGGATGTGGAATGAGTATGCGCAGCGCGTCGACTAATTGCAGCTCCTTGTAGGCGGCCTTCGCTGGGACCAGCGGCACCAATCCCAATACCGTCGAGGGTTGTAACTGCATTTGCGGTTGACAGCCGCCTTCATCCGGCCGTGGTTCTTGAATTGAATAGGCGACCTGTACGAGTTTCGGCGGTGTCTTGACCACTTTACCAAGGCGGCCATCTTTGTCCGGTGAAGGTAATGGTGGCCACCAACTTGATGGAATGGTTATCTGCGCTAGACATACACCATCCGCCCCTTCGGGACTACACGCTGCTGAGAGGGGTGCATGTGTGCCCATTGTAGCGTGCAACACGATGCACACCTGATGGTGGCGTGCCATCAGGATATGGCGACGGTTGCTGGTGTCGGCGCCGGTATGGAACAATACTCGCAGGATGGGACTATCGCGCGGTACTTCACCACGCACAATATGCGCCGACATGTCCAAATGGTGTGTCGCCAATTCCTGCAGATCTATACTCGTTCCTGCAAGGAATGCGGGAGTAAATTAAATTTAGTTGCCTGCTGGAGCAAATAATTAATTAAACTTCCGGTTGGGAAATGTGTTTTGTGCTATAATTTCTTTGATTGAAACAAAAAATTAATGAAATTTAATCTTAAATGAACTTTCCACTATAGGCAACCCAAACATCAACATCAGTTATGAAGTGATCGTATTGTGTGGTTATGTTGTTGTGCGAGTGTGTTTTAACTGAAAACAAATATTGACAAACCTGTTGTGTTGAGCGGAATCGGATCCGGAACGACATAGCGCGCTGGTACCGTCTGCTTGGTGCTGAACGGGCCATAGGTGGCACGTACGGAGATCGGCTGCGAGCTCTGAAAGACGGTGAAGCGATCCACCGCGAGCAGTGCGCCCTGCCCCGTCCCACCGGTTGTCTCCTCGACGCCAGCATTGATGCCCGCCGGCGCCGCATAGTGCTGCCTAGGTGACTGCTTTAGGAAAAACCCACCGTCTTTGTTCTCGAAATGCACGTTCACGCATTTCACACAACCTGCAACCGAAAAACAAACAACCACATCAAATTAACTTCCTCGTTTCTTGCAAAGAAAAAGAAAATTTAATAAAACACGCACATTAAGCCTATAACGATCCAGGATCAGTCTTAATTAATTAATAATGTAGCCAGAACTCCAAACTCACAAACAAGTTGCTCGGTAGCAGCTTGGTAGCTGCTCATAATTACGTCGTATAAATAAAACCCCAATTCGCTAATCGCGGAGGAGCAGAGCCGGCTTAGAATATGACTACAAGGACGCACAAAACGCGGGTCTTATCCTGGTTACGCGTGCTTAAACTTTGGCAATACATTGTGTGAAAACGTCTGAAGGCCTACACAGCCTACACAACATGAAAGGGTTTTATACAAGGGAATTCTCCAAAGGGAATGGTGAACCGAGTCTTACATCACAAACGCACAACTGAAACGGAAGGGTGGAAGTGGGGGAGAAAGCAGTCAAAATCCAAAGGAGCTCGTATGAGGAGATAGAGAAGTCGCAAAGGTGGAAAAGGTTTTCGGGTCAAACTATTAGCACAACTTGCAGATGGCGATAACCCAGATAGCTTTTTGTCGGCGATTTATGATCGCCTGCACGCAATCCGCATGATCATTCAATTATCAAATACTGATACAGATAAGGTAAGGGGTGGGGGTAAATGAGTCAAGGCAATATCCTTGCGTGCTGCAGTGATAGCAAATAGCAAATGAAATAAAGCTATAAAACATTTAGGTTAGTTTTTTATAAATAGGAAAGGATAATTTGATTTTTGACAGTCAGCAGACTAAATATAATTGGGGAAAAGTTGTCTATTTTAGGGTTTTAGGGATAAGCTATTTTAAGGCAAGGAAAATTGATTAAAGTAAAATTATCTGGAAAATTTAGAGAGAATTATAAATTGAAATCAGTAAAAATGCTAAAAAAAATTGGAAAATTCGTTGTAACTTTAAAACTAAAAGTGATAAAATAGTGTTTTTTAATTTAGGCTTAGATCTCAAAAGGGACTACAAGATCCGCAATACAAAAAAAAAAAAATTTTGTAATATTAGACCTAAAATTTGATTAAATTGAAAAAAAAGGTAAAACATAAAAATGAAGATATCTCCAAAACTAAAAGAGATAATGAAAAACTCTGTGCATATATAACAAAATCCTTAAAAACACTAAAAATCCTGATTATAAAAAACCGAAATAATTGAATATTTAATCAAAAGTTTGAGAAATTTCCCGAAAAAAATTAAAAATCTGCGAAAAATTATCAAAATATCAGATTTAAAACAAAAATAGAAGATTCTCCATAAATGCTATAAAATTTCCATGATATAAACTTATATTCCACTTAAATTTTAACGAGCCTCCTTAAAACAACATAAAATATCGCCCTGGTTTATCATTTACAGTTCGAAAATATGTATATCGGATTATAATAGAAAGCGCATTGCGTCGTTTGGGCGCTTTGTTCGCTGATGTATGGGAGAGAGCGAGCCGCTCACTTGAAGCACACGGCCGGAGACTTAATTACCACACGCTGACAATACGGCGGGCTAATTGTGCGGAGCGCAGCGTGCGCCATATCACAGAAATAAAACGCGCGATGTGTACAGCCCATCGCTTTATCATGAGCGGAGCGCGGACTCGCCTGGCATGTCTCTGCATGTCTGCACGTCATGTACAGCAACAACAGCGCATTTAATTTAATTGCGCGCCTCCACCACCCGCGCAGCCCGGTCGGAATACTGATAATGATAAATCCGCGCGCGTTCAATCAATTGCGCGAGCGCTAGAGGGATTTACGCGAGCAAATTTATAGACATAAGCTCCTCCTGTGTGTTTGTATTTTGAGCTCGGAGCGGAAATGCAGAAAATGTGCGAATGCGCGAAAATGCAGCGAGTAATCGCTGCAGGCATCAACGCATTAATAAGCATTAGCAGCAGAGGGTGCTATTCTGTTTAGCGTTCAAAAACGACGTCAAAGTCGAAGAAGTTGTGAAGATGGCGAATGCAAATGCGATACAAAGTAGCCAGGGAGTTAAATTCGGCGTGATAATTAAATTGAGCGCCGACAAAACGCGCGACGGAGCGCACAAAACATTTCGCATTCATCGGCGCTAGGGCTTCACACGAGACGAGACTGGACGATACTATCAAAGGTATCGTCTCGGTCTCGGTATCGTCTCGCAAAAGCGATACGAGACCGAGACGATACGAGAAAAGTCTCGGTATCGTGTGAAGCTTTAAGTAGAACTCAGTTTTAGATCTTTGCAGTTCAAAAGTTTAGTCATTTAATTGCTAATTGCATGTATTGTAAAGTAAATCCAAAATACATACATAGTTTAAAATATTAATTTTTAATTGCATCACTTTTAATTGAAAATATATTTTTTAATGTTTCAAATTTTAAAACGTTAATGTATACTAGGGTACAATAATCGAGTTGATTTGTGTTGAAAGTAAGCGGCGCACGTCTACAATTCCTAACTTACCCAGATGTATACAATATCTTTGCTTCAAGAAGTACAGAAAAACACAAAAATATGTCTCCGGATGTGTAAACAAAGACAAAATTTTCATAAAACTTTCAAAAAGTCAAAAAGGTCATGATATTCGGTTACTGACTTGTTATTTTGAATATACAAAAGAAATATTTCACAGATGGTCATATATTGGATTTCATATATTGGACCTTTTCCCATTTTTCTAATAACAACTTCATAAAAAAAAGTAACGAGACCAATAACGAGACCAAAAACGAGACTCGGACTGTGGTATCGGTATCGCCGAGAAATTGATAAAACACGTCTCGTCTCGGTATCGTCTCGCTTTTCCGAGACGAGACCGAGACGATACGAGAAAAGTCTCGGTATCGCGTGAAGCCCTAATCGGCGCGTCGTCATAATACGAACGTGCAGAGCAAACAGGATGAAAATGAAGAAACAGGAGTCTGTGGAACCCTTTAAATGCGCGCCCGCCAAACAAACAAACAAACAACACGCCGAGGGAACAACTGACAAACAATGGCCCGCGAGGAGTCTTTACACTCTCGCAAGTCACATGCGTACATTAATGGCGTACCTTCACTTGTTCGTTGCTCAGTGGTTTTGTAACAAATGAATGGCGGCAGCGGCGGGGACCGTCGATAACGCGTTTCATTCAATACTAACCTCATTTATTATTGAGAGTGTAAAGAGACGCGACACGTGCACGCTCTTAGGGCTTAATCGATCGTAAAACGCTGCCGGTTTTATTTTTATCGAGAATTAATTACGTCAATGACGAATTTAACTGAGTGCACTTTTCGTAAACATTCCATTAGCGCGCGCGCGCGCATGCGTATGAAATGTCAAGTGTTTTCTTTCTTCACGACACGAACGTAAACGAAACACGTATTACATTTTGAGGTTATGTCGTGTCGCCGGCTTTTTACTATGCAAGTAAGTACTTAAAGTATCTTCTTGCTTTCTGTGTATTTTTTCGTCTTTGTGGCGTTTTTCGGAAATTCGCTTCGCTTAATAAATGCGCGGTGGTGGTAAAACGTTGTAAAATGCAAAAAGCCGCCTTGACATTCACTTCCATCTTCACCCTCGCGCTGCTGAATTTCGTTTTATTTTTTTATATTTTTGCGCCTCAAGGCGCTGGTGTTGAGTTCAATTCGACGCTGGCTTAGCGCGCCCCCCGGCTTAGAAGCGCCATATTTTGGTATTAGATATGCGCGGTGCGTGCGGCCCACATTTCGTGTTTTTTTACAAGTTTACACACAGTTCACACGCAGCATTCCCCGCAGAGGATGTTGATGTTGAGTCTCGCGCGACACAGGACGATTCTGACGATGATTGAAGACTGAATGTTGAACGCGCTTACAGGCGAAAACGTTGTGAATATTTCCCACAGATTTGCGACGACGGCTGCCTGTCTGTTCAACACTCAACCAACATAACCTCAACACTCTCTCATACATTCGTTTATCTCGGTAAAGCTCAAGAAGCTCGAAGAAGAAAGGAACGAAATCTCATAACCCGGTGTGCCGACGCAATCCGTTTATGTACGATTGTAAAAATGGAAATAAAGAAATTGTAAAATTCTGCGCATAAAACATCCACACAGTTTACTGCTGTACTCCTAGACAACACGCAACCCAATATACAGAATGGTGTATACGTGATTGCATACGATTCCACCCGAATAACCTTCAACGTATGCTCTCGCGAATTATCGATTGGGGTGAGCGTCGCGAAATTGTCTAATGACGACTGCCACGATTTAATAACTCTGCAGACCGAGCGCAAACAAACCAGACTAGACGATTAGCGGTTGGTGCGTTGCTATGACTGCACATTGCACCAGTCTACATCTAGTTGAAATTCCGTCGTCTGCCACAAACAACTGAATTAAGAATACTGCACTACGATAACCTAACCTCTAAAATGTTAATGTAAGTGAATGAATGATCCTGTAGCACATACATGAAGAGTGCACTTACTTAGTTCATACTTCATATTTCTAAGTGCCAGGCGAGATGAGCTTTATGTTTGTTTACAGTTTGTCATGTGAGATATGCTGGCATGTGATGGGATGCGTCAAAGCATCTCAAAGGCCTGACGACTTCATGATGATGAGACTTTTACACATATGTTCCACGAGAGCTTTTTAGCTGTGTGAAAATGTGTAACTACATACAACTTAATTTTAATTTAATCACCACACAAAAAATTATTTCCTTTTTTTTGGGGTTTAGGTGTGTAAAAATAGCTACTAAACGAAAATAACCTCAAAATGAGTGTTGTTTGTTTTTGTTTACAAGTATACGCATAGCATAGCATAGCGTAGCATGAAAATTAGGAATTTCTCCCCGAAGACTTTATTAAGATATTAAATTATGTAAAGCACTCGCGTCGACGACATGCTCTGTTTCCTTCGGCCCCCAGCCAAGGATGTCAGGACAATATATCCTCGAGGTGCGAGCATTTAATGAAGATATTTTCATTAGTGCGAGTGCGGG